ATCGTGAATAAGGTTCAGGAATTTGATGCTGCATGCCTTCTGAAACTCTGAGGAAAGTAACTCACCGACAAGATCACAAAATAGCTGGAACTGTTTATTGAGTAAGCGTCCATGCCTGTCACGACTCAAAATTGGGAACTCTGGATCCCCCGTGGCAGCGCGCATCACATCCAAAAAAGAGTCGGAAGAACACACCGTATACGGAAGTCCCTGATTGACGAGCCACTTGGATATCAACACGTTAACCATTTTCTCGTTCGGACGGAAAACCCTTTTCGTGGACTTGCTGGTTGTAATGGACGAGTCCGCCTTAAGTCCGGGAGACGTAGTAGTATTACTAGTAGTAGTAGTATCAACGACACTTCCCTTCGTCAAATCTAGGGCACTCCGTGCCTCTGCTTCCGCGTTTTCCACATCATGCTTCGCCTTCTCAGTAACTTTCTGCTCCGCGAGAATAGCCAAAGGATGGTCTTCGTGCATGGATTTGATGTGATCCTTTGCATTCGAGGCGTGCTTCGTATTACGCAGTGCTTCTTCCCAACTATACCGCGTTGGCTTGGTACGAGCCTTAATCGATTCGCAGCAGAGTAGACAGAGGTTGTGGTAAGGTTTCCCAGACGGCAGCCACGGGTTTCTCTTTCGGTACGGCTCATTAAGGTGATGAATCAAATCCCAAACGCTGTCAGACGTTCCAGCCTTTCGAGCATGTCTGACGGATAGCGGAACACCAAGTTCCGATACTAAGGACGGTGGAGGGAGTTCAGGGGAATATAAGGAAGCTGGAGTTGCCACCGACTTAACCTTGGTCTTAGCCTTTGCAGCAGCTACTCCATAAGTCAGCTTTGACTGCTTGGCAACCTTCAGACGCTTTGTAACGCGCTGTGAGGACGCACGAGTCTCACCCACAGAACTGTCCGGCGACGGCGCAAAATCAGAGTCCAATCCAGCCCAAATATTACCTGCAGGTCTCTTAGAGGTCGCTGGAGCTGGATCTAGATTGATGTCGGACTGACGATACACACGCGCTACACACTCTGAGCTGCAGAACCTGTACCGAAGTGCAGTTAGTTTACATACTGATTATGTAGGATGTTGCACGCAGTATTACCTCTCATTCAAAGCGGAGTCCTTGCCCTCAAACACACCAATGGCGCAAAGATGTGTGTTGCCCCCTGGCTGGCCGCACACAGTGCAGGGGTCTGTCTTGAGTTCGTCACCTTCTTGGCATCCATTCACAGCGCACCCCATCGTTCGCGTGTACACTGAGAGTCTTTCACAGCCAGTTGTGTGCGGATTGCAAAATGAAAACCTGTGGCTGAGAGGCCTTTCAAAATAGTAGTAGTGAAACTACTATTGTGGATAGCGAACGGCGGTAATACTACTATGAATTTAGATACTCTGTACCTGGGTATGAGTATGAGATATACCAAAAATTAAATGATATGAATAGTACCACAGAGTACTATTTCACATAATACTATTAATCCCTGCACATCCGTATCAGTGTTCTTCTGCGGCTGTTTCGACCCAACCGTAGATCCTTCCCCACCTAAGAAGGAATACTATTCCGAGCTAGCTCGAAAGGCGTGGATGCCGCATGGCAATTACGTAAAACGGTGTATGCCCTGTCGAGGCATGCACCGAGCTGTTGATGTGCAACTCTGCCATCGGCAAGCAGTCGCTCCACTGAATGAACGAGTGTGCGTAGCTCTTCAGTACGTCACCGAGCACGCGAATAACTCGCTCGGTCTATCCATCCGTCTGAGGATGATCCGCAGTCGACATTGACAGCTGTGTTCCCAGAAGTGTAAGCACCTCTTGCCAGAACTGCGCTGTAAAGCGTGGATCACAGTCCGACGTTATGTCGAACGACATTCCATGGTGTCGGAACACCATGTCAACAAACAGTCGTGCAGTCTGCACGGCCATGACTTCAGCCAGTACTGCAGCAAACTGAACCATCTTGCTGAATCGGTCAACAGCGCCAGTCCTCCGCTTGTTGTATGGCGGAAGACCGAAAAGAAAGTCCACAGAAATGGACTGCGAGCACTCCGACGGCGTCGGTAGTGATTGTAGTGGAGCCAACGACTACGCAGCAGGCTTCACGCGTTGGCACACTTCGCAAGCACGTACGTACTTGCGCACCCACGTGTACTGGTGGTTCCAGTAGAAGTCTCTCGTGAGAAGAGTGTATGTCTCTTCACGGCCCGGATGCCCTGCCGTAGAGGCATCGTGATATTCATACATGACCCGCATACGCAGATTATAATCATTCGGCACGATGATGCGATCCGCATCGTCGTCCACTGCTGTAACGCAGCAGTCCTTCGTGCGCACGATATGGGACTGCGGCGATACCGGCTGTCATTGCAGCGACTTGTCCAGCCGCCACCTTGATGGCACCACTACAACTCTAAGGAGTTAGTTTGAATGAGCGGATGTTGAACGCGAACTTGTTTTGTCATTGAAACATGATCAGCTGCACGTAGAGCGAGCATTTCATTTTGGTTGAGCATACATATAGCGTATCGTTGCCACCAGACTTGCCTTGGCACGTAAGTGAGCGTTTTTCCTGGGCTAACGCAAAGTTGTTAATGTAGAGAGCTGCGCCTTTGCGTTGAAAGAACTGCATACCCTTAGCAAGAGAAACTGCGAATCCTGCCTTTCCAGTGATGGTCGCAATTTCAGTACTCGCATCGTCCATGCTGGACGGTGCTTCGCGCCAATTTAGTAAAGAGGCCATTCGATAAGACGTCTAAGCGGTACATAATTCTCTTACCCGATGTGTGTAAGTGTGGTAAGTGCTCCACAATCTTGTCAGGGAAAGCGTGCTTCTTTTCACTGAGGAAAGTTGCCCTAGAATTTGTCATTTCAATCGTTTCAGATATTGTATGTCATTATATTCCGAATCCTTCCATGTTTTATCACAATTCGCAGTTTGAAGAAATGTGTTAGGCCACGAAAAGTTTGTCATCCTGCAACCTTACGCAAACATCAACAAAGTTGCGCAACCAATGATGTTTGTCATTTTATTAATTTATGGCAATTAAAAGATTGTCGTCCTGCAACATTTCGCTAACTAAACAAAGTTGTGCAACAGCGATGTTTGTCAGCATTTTTACAGTGTCACCCAACATTTTTTTCAAGTTGCAAAACCAGCTTAATTAGTTGTCATCCTGCATCATCGTGTAAAATATAACTAAAGGTTCATGTTACGCCAGTGATTTTATATAAGCAGTAAAGTCATTAACTCGCAGACAAAGGACCTGCATTCCGGTCCCAAGAAAATGTATAACATCGTATTTTCTGCTAGGGGACCACACAGTGTCTTACACTCCATTACATCTACATGTAATTGGCGTTACTCACAGTATCTTATAAAAAGGGGCTGGTTGGGCTGGCTGCTTCTGGCTCTCGGTCGCAAGTGCACAAAACCGAAACGGGTAGAGGTACCAAATGACTGGTTCTGTGACGGGGTCACACAGCACCTTGCACAGAGGAAGTGCTTAAGGGTATTAACTACCCGAGTGAATGCTAGTCCACGTGTTCCCGGCCTCAAAGGGAGCGATTTGCTACTTAGAAGAGTAGATTTAAGACTGATGTATTTATAAGTAAGATAAGCTTGGGTCTCATACAAACTAGAGGTTACCTATAGTGGAGCTAAGTAGTCATGCACTGACTGGCTCCGAGAACACCTGATACCGTGTACCAGGTGTCCACAAGAGTGACGGGTCATCCTTTATGTAGCATGGGGCACACTGGATTGTACCCCGTTACAGGTTCTGTAGGCTCACTTTACTAAGTGAGCAATGCCAACGCTGCCCCCCCCCCCTTGAAGTGACACTCTCCGCCAGAATTGAGGCTCAGTGCTTGGATGCCCAATGTTGCTGCTAGAATCTAGACTAGATGTGTAGGATTGATTGGCCTTTGCGAGTCTTGTGAGAAAAATCGCTTTACTGCCAGTAAAAAAACACTGAGGCCCGTGCAGGCATCGGGCACTGAGTCCCGTGCATGTATCGGGCTGTCAAGTTTAAAAATATCGCTGATTGGTCAGATAGGTCGCGGGTAGGTGTGTTTAAAATAACTGGAGAGCCACCAACGGAATCTTGCTCTCGGGTTTTCTTGGCACAGTCCTCAGTACCGCTGAGCTTTTAGCTATGCCACCACCTTTAGCTTCTATTCTTTTGGCTGTGGAGACCTAATAGCACCCACGCCTCTCCGATGCGATAGCTTGTCATAACGCTGATGCTTCAGGTCTAGCACCATTTCCTCGCTCCACTCCAGCACAGCAGTTTCCTTCTCAGTGGAGCGCTTGCCTTTGTTGTCCCTGGGTGGCGAGCACTTCGGTGGTGTGCGTGCCGCCTGGAGATCTTCTGAAAGTTGAATCGGGGCCTCAGAGTGGCTCTTAACCACTGCCACGTGTGCCATGCCATGGCACTAGAAATTGAGCCATGGCATGGCGTGGTCACGAATAGAATTGCCCTGCCACTGTGCCATCATGAAAACTATTTTTAGAGCAGCCATTTATGAAAATAAAAGTAGCATGACATGGCAATTGCCTCTTGCCATGACACTTGCGAATGCCATCCGTGGCACTTCCTGTCATTTTATTTACTTTAAGCTCTAGCCCTAGCAAGCGCTCGTCCAATCGGATCACAGCATTTTGTGCCATGGCATAGCATGGCGTGGTTAAGAGCGACCCTCAGGCAGCGCTGGATCTTAGTGTCGTGCCGAACCCATTATGAGTTAGATTTTGTATTACGACAAAAGCTCGCAATTTCAGGCCAACCAATTTGCTGTGTTTGTCATTACTATTCGAATCACCCCAGGTTTTGTCATTTTTCCCAGGCTACGCTAGATTTGGATCGGCCCAGTCATTGTTCAATATAGCCACCCAATCATGTCTCTGAAACGATTTTGTCCAATCGCTGCTTTCCCAACCGAAATTTGTTTTTGGAACGCTCTCATTTTTGCCGTGAACGAAGAGCTCACGGAGCAGCATGGGGAGTACTGAGCACGAGTTAAGGCTCAAATTCCTGTTCGCCAACCAGGATGGCGTGCGCGTAGAGCTGGGTTTCCCAAAAGAAGCTACAGTGGCCGAGGTCAAGGCGCAGCTCATTCGCAGCTGGCCCCAAAGTACGTTTTCACATCTGCAATTTTTTAAAAGACCCAAATTAAAACTCACATGATATTGTAGATGTCCCTGTTGCAGAGGACGCTAAATCCGTTCGCTTAATCTGCATGGGGCGCGGTATTTTGCAAGACACACATACTCTGAGTTCTGCCGTCCCGGCCTTCGACACACATCCGACGCCCGTGAACGTCTCGGTCTTTCACAAGTCGCAACAGGCAGTTCGAGGTAGATGATTTGTGCAAAAAAAATGACGAAAGGTGGGCTAACAATTTGCCACTACAGAACCCACACGTGGCCACACGGCTGCCAAGACGGTGGAGTCGGCAGGCTGCGGCTGCGTCATTTGTTAGATACCAATGTACACAAGCAAATGCACATATCGCTCTATCTCGTGTTGAGCACTAAGTTATTTGAAATAACTAACCCGATATTTTTTTTCTGCTATTCTTGTTGTTTTCCACTTTGTTGCCTAGCAAAAAGGCTGTTGGCAAATCGGACACTTGTTTTTGCCAGATTGGTTGAACCACTTGTACAGACACGAATTGTGGTACTTGTTGTTGCATGTTTTGCATGGCAACGACGGCAACCCCATGTTCTTGGGGTTCAGGATGGAGTAACAAATCGGACACGGCTCCACTCCTTCAAACTCCTTGTCCACATTATGTTTCCACAGCAACACAGCGTCCAGCAACGAACCATCACGAGACGACGTCACTCGAATAATTTGCAACACCCAACGCCGCCAGCGATCTTCCGAGATACCGATACGCTTCGTACACTCGACCTCCACACAACGCAGCGGGTAGGAAGACGGCACACGCACAACCATTTCCAAAGCGCATTCGTCCTTCATATACGTCGTGGTGATCTCCCGAGACACACGACTGCCCTTCACTGTCATCTCTTCATCGTCCCACGACTCGGTAGATGTGTTCTCACTTGCCTTTTGAATTAGTTCCAGCTCAGCTGCAAGCACTGACGGAGTGATGTGGTCCTCAAAGTACTTGGCAGCCCAGCTTCTCGTGGCTCGCGAGCAATCATCATTCCACCAAGACCGCACCATTGCAGGGAGACGAACCACAGTCCGGAAGAAGACACGCGTGCCCAGTTGGAACACGTGAGTTTTGTCAAGACTCCAGGTCTCATCGTTCTCCTTCTTGTCCAAGTCTGTGACGTCAAAGAGCGCAGTGTCTTGTAGCTCCGCCGTCGCCATCTTCGATGCGTCTTGCGATAACAATGAGGAACTGAAGTTCAGGAAACTCGTGAGCATTCCATGACGCGAGACGTAGGAGCTCAGCGACGACGCGATGAGTGTAGATGAAGGACCATTGCCGTCACTGCTGTCGCTTCCACTTGAGGGGAACAGTTGGAGGAACAGATCCCAGAGTAGCAACTTGCCCGTGATATCCTCTCGCTCCTGCAACTTTTGTTTACGACTGCGCATACGGATATTGGCAGCGCTATTGTCCCCACTCTTGTCCGTGAACACAGCACGTAACGCTGAGCGCAGAGCCTTGGGGATCAGCACCTTAGCCAGCGCAGATTCAGTCGCTGCCTCGTCCTCAGCATTCACATCGATTGCATTCGCGTCGTAGTTATGCAAACGTAGCGCTCCGCTGTACGACGCCAGGATGTACAGCAACAAACGCAGCACTGGTTGCAGTGGATAGCGCTTGCTATTGAACAGAGATGCGAGGGTTTCAATGCCACCGAAAGATTCCAATACAAGACGATTCACGTGATCAGCGTCGTGGATACTCGTCAACGTCGAACGCAACGCGGAGAGAACACTTTCAAGTACCTTTTCGACACCGAACCAGAGAGTGACAAGCTGAAAACACTGCGATGGAGACGTTAACGCCACGTATGTGGTCACGATACTTGCCTTGATCTCAGCACTCTCTGAAAGAGCACAGAGTACCGTGGATAGAAGTGCTTCACGGTAGTGAGCAGCAAGCTCGTGTAGCGCGTCGGGGTTGGAGTCGTACATCGCACTCACGAGTTCCATCAAAGCCAAGCGCGCAGTGACGACCTCGTTAGAGTAGCCAAGCACAATCTGCTCCTCGTCGCTCTTGATGATCCGTCGGTCCCCGAGACTCGAGCTGCGCTTCTGGATCTTAAGCGCAGCAGTCTTGGCCGTCTCGGACTTGCCGGCAATCGCATGCGTCACTAGCAATCGTGCAAGTTTCTCCCACTTATCTCGTAATTCAGACGTCGCGTCAGGCAAGTACACAGCGAGAGCTCCCACATACTCCGTGATAGCAATCCATTCATCAACTTCCACAACAGTGGACGAGCTCGGCGCGAGCATCTCCACTAGTTGATCAATAACACATTCCTGCGTCGAGCGATTGATGACTTCTCGCTTGGAAAAGCTGGATAGCCTGCCTTCCTCTTTTACTCCTCGCGTAGTTAATCGCAAATACTCAAACAATCCACTCGCAGACTCGGAGACAACGTCACGATCGCAGAGAGCAAAGAAGCTCTCAAGCGCTGCCACAACTTCATCGTTAATTTCCTGCTCCGAATACAGTGAGATAGCAACAATCTGTGTAGCTTCCGTCTTCCAGTCACCGTTTCGTTCCACCAGCTCCTGTACGAACTGCACTCGCTTCGCAACGGAGCTAAAAGTGGATAACACTGCAACACAGAGTTCATCCAGCTTCGTGTGCTGCTTTTGCGTAAGTGCACCCTCTTTCTGACTCGTAACAGCACTTTGATTCTTGCTCAAGAACACCAAGTCGCGGTGCACTCCACTCTCGCGTTTACGCTCATCAAGAGCAGCTGCAAGTACCTTATCCAAAACATCCGACGACACCTTCAATGCTTCATACAAATGCTCCAGAGTCAGATAGCTCTCCAAAATCTCCACAAGATCAACGCCACGCTGAATGTGATCGTCCGAATGGAACACGACCCAGGTCAACGCATGGGTCACATCGAGATCCACCAGCTTGGCACAAAGATCCACCGCCTTGTCTTCATCCTCAGCTGCCAACGAAGTGAAGTACGCTTGCAGGACGTCCACGACTTGTTCATCCTCACAAACTTGTCCCAAACCCGACAGCACGCGACTGTAGAATAACGTCTGCTGACAATCCTCACTGCATCGCAAGTTGATCGCATCCAGTTTCACCACAAGCTGCGAGGCTGAGAAGAACGTCTGGTCCGCGCCAAGCTGCACGTAGCTCTTAACGTACGCTGCAAACAACTTGGTGTTGAACGACACAGTTCCTGCTGGCAAGTCTGCAAGGAGGAGCTCATTGATGTATCCAGCCAATTCGTTCACAAACGCCTCTGTTCGCGTTCTCGACCAATTCTTGAGTGAGTGGCGCACAGTTCGAGCCCACAGAGCACTAGCTTCCGCGCGGTAGCTGCCTCTTGCTGACAGGTGGAAGAGCTGCTTGTACAGCTGACCTTCGACAGCTTCGAGTTCAGCGGGTAGTTCTCCGTTGAGCTTGAAAAACAACTCGCACAGCTGCGTCAGCATCTGCACCACAACTGCGTCGCTGCTGTCTGCGCCGTGTTGAAGCACAAAGTGACACAGGATCACCACAGCATCAGAACTCACGACCGGAGAGCTAGTCAGACTGCCAAGACAGGCCTTTAAAAGCGTAGAAAAGGCACCGGCGTCCAAGTCGTCAAGTCTTCCCTTCAAACTGATCATCAAGAACTCGTCAAGCAGCTTGCCTTGCCAGATCGCTTGCAGTCCTTGTAAAACTGCATCCGCTTCGTCGTAAGCCGAGACTTCACTCTGAAAGCGGCTTTGCCAACTCCCGCAAGACAACCACAACTTGCTACTCTGCTCTGTAATCGGGAACTGCAGTCCGTACTGAATGATATCGCTCGCCTCCTTCATATCGCCGAACTGAACATCACAATCCTTGAAAAGCTGCAGCAAAAACTGCTTCTTCTCCTTTGCAGCAAGGAAAAATGGCTGCGTGAGCTGTAGAGTAGCACGCATTGTTTTGTCCACACTCTTGTTACCGACTGATCGCTTCCATTCGGACAACACGCGAAGCACGGGGCGGTAATGATCCTCGAAATGCGTCTCCACTGTCGTTTTAGTGTCCCTCAACACCAATAAATCCAACGGATGAGCCTGACAAACGCCATTAATCGCCTCCAACAACTGCGCAATCGACGTGTTCTTGGCTGGAGAGAACGTTGGTTCGGCTACTAGACTGTCCACCTGGTCAAGGCACTGTGCGTAAAGCTCCTTGCTCGTCAACAACCACTGCGCAGCCTCATGGTCTTCACTTCTCTCCTTCGCAGCAGCAACACCAGCGGTGATCAATGCGTTCACCCTCGAAGGCACGAACATTATCTTATTTACCATCGCACTGATAGCTTGTCTTGTCCACGAATGAAGCTTCTCCGCAAAATCCTCCTTCAGACTGTCAAGCACAGCGGAATCACTTGAAAAAGTGCGTAAACGGCTGTTCAGCTTCATCAAACTACTAGCAAAGAGTCCGACTTCTGCCTCTGGAAACTCCGGAGAGCTCAGCGTCGTCGTGAGCGAAGACACAAAGACCTTCTCGAATTGGTTCACATAGTTCGTCTCCGCATCTTGTCCACTTAGCCACGCCGCGTCTTCCTTCAAGAAGATAATGAACATGCCTGTGATACACTCGTAAAACGCAGTAATGGCTGGCGGCTCACTGAAGCGTGCGTCCTTCGACTCGATAAACTTCCAACACTGCTCCAACACTCCAGTATACAATGCTGACTGCCCCTTGACAGAGTTAACAGCGACATTCAGAGGGACCAGCGACAAAAACGGCAGTAACGAAGGGAACGACGAGCGTCCAGAACCGTGAAATCCATGTCTGATCTGGGCAAACAGTCGTGGGTACACAGCACTAGTCACGAACTTGGGGAAGCTAGTACTTGACTGCCACACAGTGGGGAAAGTGTGTAGGAACGTGAGCACAGCATTCCACATGGCTTCGTGGTTAGCAGGGCTTTTATCCCCGAGGATTCCAAGCACCACCTTGCCAAAAGATTCTTCACGTGCAGCAATAATCGACTTGGCGTCTGTACAGAGTGTCACAAGCAGCACGTACACTGCTCTCCTCACGATATTACGCGAGAAATTCGGATGTTTGGACGCTGCAGTCGCTAGACGCGTCAACTTGTCAGATGATACCACCGTGGCAACTGAGAGACTGGCATCGTGGTCATTTAACGTGTCTGTCATGTCTTGGCTGCTAAAGAACTTAATCACTGCGTTAATACTGAGCACAGCAGCGGAGACGCATCGCTCGTATCGTTCTTCTTTCTCGTCAGGTTGCAAGGGGATTCCTTCGAATGCATCGGGAGTTTTGGAGAAGAAGCTCTGGAACTCTTCCATAATAGCTGGAAGGTGGTCCTCCAGCACTGTTTTGTGCATTTCGGTCTCCGGGAACAGCGTATTGAATGCCTTATTGGCTACTGTAGCCACGTCCGCATTGACGTCGTGCATTGCTAAGTACCAGTAGGGCAACAGTCGCTGCAAGTGCGGGACGAAGGCTCGTGGCCGCATCTTGTCGGCTAGTGCGGCTAGCACTTCGTTAAGCATTTGACGGACTTTGCGATCGTTCTGGTCGCGCATCTCGAAGGTGTAGAGCTGCGTGAAGTGGCCGAGCATTGGACGGATCTCAGCCGGCTGGCGGGGAGGCAATACGTCCGTGAGGAAGGTCTGGAGTGCCTTGATCTTAGTCACGGCTCCTTTCTTGGCCAGCATTTTAAGTGCCAGCGCAATCTCGTGGTCTGATCCGTCGTAGATACTCTGTACTACGGGCTTGGCGTAGAACGCGCCGGTCTTTGGCGTCGCCTGTATGGCATTGGGCGCTGGTTGCGCGAAGCTTGCGAAGCCGATGAAAGCTGGTGGCGCGGCATTGGAGCCTGCACTGGACAGTAGCGATTGGTGCGCACGTGCACTAGAGGACGCGCGACTTTGCTCCTGCTTCTCACGCTGCTTGTTCTTCTTGGGGGCCATGGCGGCAGCGACTAAAGTGACGTCGAGCGCGGATTTTTGTCTGGGATCCGGTTGGTGATGGCAATGAAATACGTGAGTGATGGTTCTATTGTTGTGGTACACGTCATGCTTATGATGTGTACGATTGGAGGAAAATTGAAGATAGTCAGCACTGATTGGTCAGAGGATTGCGCATCGTTTTCCTTATCATAACTCTTATAATTTCTGATCTGTCATTGCATTAAATGCTACAGGTAACGAGGTTTTTGTTTGCACTTGGATATCAGCTATTTAAGGTTGTGTTTCTTATTTATGATAGTCTCAGGTAAGTGTTTCGTCTGTATCTTCCGGCGCCGAAGGAGGGGACGGCATTCGCCAAAAAGAAACTAAAGGAGCAATCATGGCGTCCAGCATGCGTCGCGCTGTGCACTCGCAGGCGTTCAAGAGCCTCACGCGTCGCGCGCAGCAAGCGTCAGTGCCTCCTACTGCTTCACACTCTCAGATCCAGTCGCGCGTGCTGTTCCAGTCGTCTCAGACGCTGCGAACGTTTTCCACTGCCGCTCCTCAGGCCTCGGAGGAAGACGCCGCTGTCCCCGTGCAGGTTGTAGAAGAGGTTGTAGCCGAAGAGGAAGACGAGGATGACATTGGGCGCAAATTGAAGCCGCGTGAGGTCGTGGAGCAGCTCAACAAGTACATTGTGGGCCAGGCCGACGCCAAACGCGCAGTAGCCATCGCGTTACGCAATCGTTGGCGTCGTCAGAAGATCTCGGACGAGCTGCGTCAGGAAGTAAGCCCTAAAAACATCCTAATGATCGGTCCTACGGGCTGTGGTAAGACAGAGATCGCCCGTCGCCTAGCCAAGCTGTCTGAGGCTCCGTTTGTCAAGGTGGAAGCCACCAAGTTCACTGAGGTGGGCTTCCACGGTCGCGACGTGGACCAGATCATCCGTGATCTTGTGGAAAACGCCATCAACATGGTCAAGAAACACCGCAAGGAGCGCCTGCGCAAACAGGTGCAGCACCTCGTGGAGAGCCGCATCTTGGACGTGCTTACTGGCGCCAACGTAGCGGAGCGCTCTCGTGCCACCTTCGAGCGTCTGTTACGTACTGGAGAGTTGGAAGACCGTATTATCGAGTTCGATGTGCCTGTGTCCACGAACCCTGGCAACCAGCCCATCTCATTCGTCGGAGGTGAAGGTAAGGGCATCTCCATGGAAGTATTTGGCCGAGCGTTCGGAGAGAAGAAGACGGAGCGTAAACGCATGACAATTGCCGAGTCCCGTGAAGTGTTTGAAGAGATGGAAATGGAGAACGCTATCGACATGACCGACGTCGTGCGTGAAGCTATCCAGGAGACTGAGGAGAACGGCATCGTGTTCATTGATGAGATCGACAAGATCTGCTCTAGTGGAGACTTCCGTCGCTCTTCCGACCCAAGCAGTGAAGGTGTACAGCGTGACTTGTTGCCTCTGATTGAAGGCAGTGTAATCTCGACAAAGCATGGCAACGTTAATACGGACCACATTTTGTTCGTGGGCTCTGGAGCTTTCCACTCGTCAAAGCCATCGGATCTTCTGGCCGAGCTGCAAGGTCGTCTGCCTATTCGTGTGGAGCTCAAGGGATTGACTGAGGAAGATCTGCATCGGATCCTGACGGAGCCTGTGACGAACCTCATCAAGCAGCAGACTGAGCTTATCAAGACTGAAGGTGTGACCTTGAACTTCACGGACGATGCAGTCCGTGAGATCGCTCGTGTTGCTGCGGAGATCAACCAGACGATTGAGAACATTGGGGCTCGACGTCTGCACACGGTGGTGGAGAAGGTAGTGGAGGACATTAGCTTCGACAGTTCCGAGATGGAGGCAGGCTCCACTGTCACGATCACGGCGGAGTTCGTGCTTGAACGTGTTGGCAAACTCATGAAGAAGACGGACCTCTCCAAGTTTATTCTGTAGACTCGTGGAAGCTGCCAGCGAATAATGGATGACAGTCTTTGTCTCAACGCCATCAATGTGTCTCTATTTGCACGCTACATCTTGCTTACCAGATCTCAATCTCCCCCTGGATACGTTGCAGCTCTTGTTTGGGGAGAACAGTTGTGCTACTGCCTTGTCGAAGACCGTCACGAGTGATCGTGGTCTGTAACTCTAGGTTGTGCTGGAGCGCAGTGTCGTACGCAGCGTCCAAGTCTTCCATCAACGCATCAATAGTCTTCTCTGCGTCGGCTTTAGTGCTATCTTCTTCGTCTTCATCAGGGGCGACAAACGTCGTGCTGTCAGGCATCAGCATGTCATCGTCAAGTGAATATTCACACACTTGCTGCTGATTGGAGCTGTTGTAACTTGTGTAGCAGTGGCGAAGTCCAAGTGGACTCTCCACCCAAGCAGACAGTTGAGTCCAGCCAGACGCGGTTGCCACACTCGTTGCATTTGCTGCTTCAGTGGCTAGAGTTGAGTGGTTTCTAATGGCTTTGCTCGACTTTAATGTAGTCAGAAAGCGTTCTAGCAGCTCCGTGTGCTCTCCTGCAGCTTCGTCAGCCTTGAGTTTCTCGGCAAGAACAAGCATTTCAGCTCCACATCGGCACAGATCTTCAATTGGGCCGATCTGAAGCTTTATCCTTTCTCGGTATTCACTACTCGCCATGAACTTGATCCACTGCAGTGCCAAGTCCACTTCATTCTGCTGTAAAGTATCAATGTTGATGGATTCATCGTCCCCATCTTCGCTTTGTCGACGCGTTTTGGGCGGACGAATCGTGTCAAATACCTTCCGACATAATCTCGCCAGTAATGAGGCACTAAGACCTCTCCACAGTGGCTGTAGTTGCAGTAACAGCGTGATAAACGTTTCCTTTTGGAAGATCTCCGCATCTTGAGTTTCCGCCAGCGATGGTGCTCCCAGAAACAGCAATCCTGCCGGGGCAATACGTTCACTGTACTGCTCTCCAGCTACCAGCAACGGTATCACGATATTGCGAAGATTGTCTGCATCCAGTAACGGCATTGGAGCTCCTTGTGTCGAGTCCACTTGCATTTCTTCAGCATTGCTTAGATGTGGAAGCTGTTCAAATAGCCACTGGGCCACCTGATGCACCTGGCCTCGAATCAAATCCTCCTGAGCTCCCCAATAATTGGCACGAAGCCACGCTAGTAGATGCTGAGCAGCGAAACGCAACACCGGTAGTGACGGCAGCTGGTTGTGCGAGGATTCGTGGCGCAGATCCACGACCCAGAGCGGGATGCCGATTCGATGCGCTAAGGTACTCACGGCCGTGGCATACGCGCCCTTCTGCGAGCCATCCACCAGGCCGTTCACACACCGCACAATGACACTCGCGTACAGTAACGAAAGCTCCATATGCGACCGTGAGCTCACACCCACTGCGTGATGATGATGCTGTGCCATAGACTCATGAAGCAGCAGCTCCACTAACTGCGCTGTGGCATTGACGGCAACTGGAAGCTGCACGCGACTGCGCCAGGAAGCCACACGAGATACGGCACGCTGCTGAACGAACAGGTCAGTGCTGAAGAGACCAACATGCACCTCTTGCCACTCGGACCAGTCCAGCCACGGCACTCCATTCCTTCGCCCACTCATTTTCAAAGTGATGACCCAATTATAATAACGAAATGTAAAGTACCCATAATTGAAAACACTTCGACAAACAGGAATTACAATATTTTTCGATTATTGCTTGCCCTACAATAATTGGGCGGATGTGGCTCCAAGGGAATATGGTTTACATGTGTACCTGCTGTCGCTCAGCGGTCCGTACATACCGACGAAGCCGTCGGAGATACTTGTTGACAGCAGTAGCAGTGGTTCCATTCGTTCTCGCAGCGACTGCATCGACTGGTGTCGCTGTCAATCATCGAGACACTGGGACGCTCGTGGACTGGACTCTCGTAACCGTTGCTCACTCTCGGAATATTGACAGGGTACACACTGTCCTGGTCGCTGTTGCAATAACAGTGCGTCCACTTCTGAAGACAGAGATGGCATGTGTCTGTGCCTACTTGGCGCTGGTTACGTGACATTCTGGAATGGTCGCTCTGGTCTGACAGCGTCGTGTATGCCAGGCTCTTGGTGCGGAGTCCTGCGGCCTTAATCTGCTGCTGGCGTTTCACCTCCATGGCCTGCAGGATCTCAATGGGGCGCTGCTTGGACGCCATGGTAGGAAACAGCGTTTCCGTCTGATCCATTTGTAAAAAGGACTGTAAGATGCAGTTCTCAATGTTCTGGCAAGCCTGTGAGCAGTTCTCGAAGCTGCGCGCCATAATGCACAGCAGCATGTGCCTCAAAAATAGTCCGAGGCTATCCATACGCTCCTTCACCACAGCCTTGCGGCTCGAGCGCAGTAGTCTTCGGCGCGGGAACGGATAGTCAGCGATCTGCTGCACGTAATGCTCGCAAAAGCCACAGTGGCCCCAGCACACGAGCTCCATGAGCTCCTTGCGCAACTTGAAAAAATCCGAGTAGCGCCTCCGCACGACGCATTTACCTCCAGTCGTGACATTGCGCACAAATACTGTGTATATAGTGTATTTATGGCGCTTGTTGTGGAGCTTGGTGCTGCCTTCACCGCTTTCGAGCGTGTCGCCGCCTTCGACTTCCTTAGAGGCCGTGATCACGACCGAGATGGAGTCTTCGTCAATCATTGTGGATTGGAGTGTGTGATGGCGTACAGGAGACGTCTTGAGAGGAAAATAGCACGAGCGGGAACTGCAGAGAGAGCGCTTCCACACTGCGAGGGACCGGCGCACTGCAAACTGTTGATTGGGAGCTGCGCGCGGCCACCAAAAACAATCGACCAGCGAGGCTTTCCTGCAGGCCTCGTCCTCGCTCTTCGACAGCACGACAGACTATGGGAAAAACAGAAGCTCGAAAACAAAATTCGGCTTATGTTGCGCCAATGTCGCACCAGCGTTTCAGCCTTGTCACCTAAATAGGTGACAAGCCAATTGTAGCCATGCGTGCGGGCAAATTTGCTCAACTGCCTGTGCAACTCAACTTGCAACGGATGCAAGGCAAATCGAGGACCCAACGAGTGGCGCAGCATAAAGCAGCTACAAGTAGCGTGGCATGCAACTTGGCATCGGATAGACTTTTGCCTGTGAACGTGGCGTTTCGACGTTTCGACGCCCGATAGGCCCATCGAAAATGTAGAATGGATGGACACCTGTTTCCCACGAGATTCCTAGTTGCATTTGCCATTGCAGCATTTAAATCTTGGTCGCGCTCAACCTGTTGCGCGGTATGTCATCTCTCCCTATCCTTTTAAATACTATCTTGTACTGCCTTGACGGCCGAGCTGCTCTTGTGTCTACTATTGTTCACACCTGTTACGCGTTCGACAAGGACGCTGGTCGCGTGGCTTGCTCCTGAGTTTTCTCGGCCATTCGCTCTAGCGCGAACACCAGCAGCGACCTCTCTTGAAGGAAGTCTCGGCTGGATTTGGCCTTGCCGAAATCGCTCACGAACGCTAATAGCTTCTCGCGGTTACGCACCAGGAGCTGCTCGACCTCCGTCGACTTGTTCGGATTGGCCACGAAGATTTTGAAGACGTGGAAAGCGTCCATTCGCAAGGCCTCACTGGGTTCACGCAACAGCAACATAATCTGTTTCAAATTGTTGCGTGAGGCGACGTATCTCTGCATGACAGCAAAGTTTACGGGATCTAGCAACAGCTCCGACAGCAGCTGTAGTGCCTGCCTCCTCGTAGCGTAGTTCTGCGACGTCAACAGACTATTTAAAAGCCCAAAGACGCGGTCGAATGACTCATCTAGAACTTGCACAGTCGCCGTCTTGTGGACAGTCAGTAGTCGCGAGATGTTAATGAGCGCGTCGGCGGAAATGTCAAAGTTGTTGTTCTCCATCGTGACCTTAAACAGGAACTCGAACTCGGGCGTGAGTTCCGTCAAGAAGATCATTGTAAGCGTCTGATGCTCGAAGCAGTCGCGCAGCATCGAGCCGCATATCAGCGCCGTCTCATTGTTGTTGTAGCCATCGACTAGCCACCGCATAATGTCTGGTCGCTCGCTGATAAGCTCAATGAAGCCGCGCAGGTTGTGCACTGTCATGGCGCGGAATACGTTGCCCACGTACTTGCGCGTTTCGAACGTCAGTTGGCCCAGCACCTTGGGCATCAGCACCTTCTCTAGTACTCGATAGCGCAGTAGTAACTCCCCCATGTCGTCCATCTTCTTCTCACGGTCACCTTGCTCCTCGTCCCAATCGTGGAACACCGCGCGAATCTTGGCCCACTTGCGCTCAAGCTCACCGGACACAGTCTTCTCACTAGAAGACTCCTCGTCGCTCGACTCTTCCTCGGGTGGTGGGTTGCCTTCGAAATCCGGTTCGCAGGCGTCGGCGCTGGGCTCACTCTCCGCCTCAACAGCTTCGTTGGACTCGGGCTTGCGCTCAGCCAGCGCGCCGCCTGTGCTCGCAGCGATGCTGAGGCTCTTAGATGCCGCATCCAGCTTGTCGTCCGGCACCAGCTCGCGTAGAAGCACGTCCACAGAGCGCACGAGCTCGCCTGTGGGGTTAAGCCGGGACCAGAAGAAGGTGTTGACGCGGTTCATCGTCGACTGAACGGAACTATTTGGGGTGAGAAGCTTGGGGCCTGATTCTTCTGCGCGGTACAGAGCGTGAGGGTTGTTGCACGCTTGATCGTTCTCGATCACTCTCGCTTGCGGAGATGGATCCGCTCGCTGCCGTTCTTCGTCTCCGCCGCTAAATTACGAGATGGCTCACAGCCAGCGCTCACCACCGGCGATCGATCTTGGCACTGCAACCCGGACTCCACAAGCGACATACCACAATCGACGACGAGAAGCTCCAGGGACGGGTCATCGCTTTTAAACTTGGATAAAGTATTCCTGGAACCGTTTGTGACGCTGGAGGAACGGGTACGTAAGTTTGAGGCTCAACATATGGCGAGCTCAGATCCGAGAGGAGATGACATCATGGCCGCGAAGGTCACTTCAACACAAATAATAGCGCTTCGACCTCGAGTCAATATGCAACTCTGGGGCTTATGCGCTGTTACTACGCTGCAGCTGGACATTTAGCTTCTTCATGGCGATCGACAGCGTCGCCGAAAAAAGGTCGAGCAGATTCTTCCTCCCTGCTTTTCTGAGTCAGAACTGCTGGTTCCCTCTGATTTAATGCGTATGTGAGTGGCAAGCATTCCGTAGAGGCCAAGTTTCCAGTCCAAGCCAAGATATCGACAGCTAGTTGATGATCTGTCCGGGACTTTGTCCCCCGTAGTGAAGACAGCCTCGGCTGATTCACTGGATTATTCAGATGGAGTGTATCCGTACGCCATCACTTCCGGTCCGGAAGCTTCAAACTGGTTTGAGATAAGGGACAAGAAAGGAGACACCGACAACATCGCGCCGAGAACTCGACGAGAAGGTCTCACGCGCATTGGCAATGATTGCCGCAATCGGGAGCGCATTTGGCTCAAATGATTTGAGTTATCGCCGTGGTTGGCACTTTCTGCCTAAAAGGAAGACGAGCCTACATGCAGGGATGCCGAAAAATAAATTGGTGCTGCAATTATTGCAATAAGAAAGCACCAATTATCTATTGGAGACTTTCTGGAGAGGAAGATCAATTATTAATTTTCGCTCCCGTTGTAGCACCAATAATCTATTGGGCGGTGTTTAATTGGCCATACATTCTTTGATACTGGTGCCCTCGCTGTTTAACAATTTTGCTGCACCAATAATCTATTTTTTGAGCTGAGGAAGTTCAATAATCTATTTTGGTCTAGTCAGCTCTAGTATTTATTTTCTGCTTTGATTAGCAATAGATAAAAATGCAATATTCGGCATCCCTGCCTACATGTCAAGGGAAGCCATCGCATGCGACGCAAAATGGCTGGACAGGGACCGTTCGTGAGAGATCCTCCCTTGGATCCAACTCATGTCCAGGCTGACGTATGTGGACACTGCACGGTCAAGTCCTCTGTAAATCGCAGCGGCTAAAATGGACGTGTATTGTTTTGTTTCCTCTACTTAGACCGTCACCATGATCCTACGGTTCGGGTTCTTCTGCAGTTTGTGGCTACGATTGTCCAGACGAGAGCGGTTCTTCTCGTGCCAAAAGTTTTTGCGCTTGGCCTCGACGATGGACATGCCGCCAGCGATGTTGTTACGCTTCTTGAGGAAGTTGGCCACAAACGCTGTCGACAGCGCTGTGCTGCCAGCGCGAGGGTCGACGCCCGCTGTTTGGTATGCCAGCAACAAGTTCTCCTTGTGAGCAGCAAGCACGGACGCACGTGTCTCGTCCGGACGGAACCTCTGCTTGTAGTAGCGGCGGAACTCACGGCGACCGAGACGGCGGCCACTGGCTAGCACCAACTCGCCCGTCTCGGACACACCGATAGTGTTCTCGTGGTCCTCGTCGTCGCTGAGTTCTTCCTCCTCAATGACTTCCTCATCACTGTCGACACTAGCCTCGCTATCTGTCTCCCACTGGACGTCCTCCTCAGCAACAGTCCTGTTCTTCTTGAACTGCGTTGAGAAGTCATAGAACTCGACCGACTCGTCCAGGTCTTCGTCCTCATAACGCAGCTTGCAATGAGAAAGCGACGTCATGTGCTTCTGTACATCTTGATGCGAACGGAAGGACTTGCCCTTACCGTTGCAGTACAAACAGTAGAAGCCCACCTTGACCTTCTCTGCCAAATAGCTGATCAACCCCTCGAGATCCACCAAGAACTCTACATCAGGGATGAAGAAGCCGTGTTCCTTCAGCATGTGTGCCAAGCACGCGTCAAAGTCCGCTGCATGGTGCGAACAGAAGATGCAGTCTTCCTTTTCAAGCGGCACCTGCTTCTTGTACTCCTCGATCTCCTTAACCAGCTCCTCCTCCGTCATCTCCTTGGGATCGCTGGGTTGTGAATCCTCATCAGGGCCATCATCTAACGAGACGACTTCCATCTGCTTCTCAACAGTCTCCACCGTTGAGGCGACCCCTGGGTTCTTCTTTGCGTTAGCCAAATGCTTCTTAGACGCCAAGTGGTTCTCGTGAGCGTTCGTGGTGGTGAAGGTCTTGTTGCAAGGCACACATTTGAGCAGCGTCTTGACGCCTGCCTTCTTGATTTGTTCCTTACGATCGTGCTGCTTCTGTTTCGGGTCGTTGGCAGCTTGTGCTTCCTTTTCCTCGCGAACCTTGCGCATACGGAACTCAAACTGCTCCTCGGACACAGGCGGCAGCTCCACCACTTTACGCTTCAGGTTGTAGCGGTGCCAGTCCATGCGGAAGTGGTCCTTCTGCTCCGCAGGCGACGCGAACTCCAAGCGACAAGCGGTGCACGTAAACATGGCTCTAGTGATAAGTGGACACCGCGAGCAAGAAAAGTCTTAGGGCCTTGAGGATCAGAGTTGAGTCTTCTTCGATGATAACCAATCGGTTGGCCAGTTAGACAACCACACAGCTTCCACACCACATGTAACGTTCGCGCAACATTCTTCAACTTTCTTTTGCGGGACGCGAGCCATCGGTTGCACGTATCCGCAACACGGCATTGCAATTCGCGCATCAAGCTACACACACTGAGGCGAAGCTCTATGGCAATGATGCTTCCTACGCTCCTGCGTACGACTCGCCGTCAATTCGGTGCATTCTCGGCCGTGCGCGCATTCTACACACCCACGCGCAACCCCGCACACGCCTCCTGGACGGACGACGATAAGACTTACTTCCAAAAGCTACTTAAACCCGAGAGCGTGCTCACCGACGCTGATGACACCGAGACGTACACGGTGGATTGGCTCAAGAAGTACAAGGCGCAGAGCAGCCATCAGATGGTGCTCAAGCCCAAGACCACGGAGCAGGTCTCAGCCATCCTCAAGTACTGCAACGAGCGTAACTTGCCAATCGTACCGCAAGGAGGCAACACTGGTCTCGTGGGCGGCAGCGTGCCGGTGTACGACGAAATCGTACTGTCCACTAGCTCGATGAACAACGTGATCTCGTTCGATGAGGTGTCGGGTATTTTGGTGTGTGAGGCTGGCTGCATCCTGGAGAACCTGGACAACCACGTGGCCAAGCACGGCTACATGATGCCACTTGATCTCGGCGCGAAAGGAACGTGTCAGATCGGTGGTAATGTCGCGACCAACGCTGGTGGTCTCCGTTTGCTGAGATATGGTTCTCTACACGGTACGGTGTTGGGTATTGAGGCTGTACTAGCGGATGGAACGGTGATCGACTGCCTCAGCACCATGCGCAAGGACAACACTGGTTACGATCTCAAGCAGTTATTCATCGGCTCTGAGGGTACGCTTGGTGTGGTAACCAAGGTGTCGATCCTAACTCCTCCCCGTTCATCGTCAAAGAATGTCGCACTCCTTGCCTGTGAAGACTTCGAGGCTTGCCAGAAGGCGTTTGTTGAGGCGAAGAAGAATTTGGGCGAGGTCTTGTCCGCCGTTGAGTTCATGGACCGTCAGTCTCTGGACATGGTGTTGTCTCAACAGGACTGGACAAAGGATCCACTCGAGATGCCCAGTCCATTCTACGTACTGATTGAGACGTCGGGTAGCAACTCTGACCACGATATGGAGAAGCTGGAGGCGTATCTGGAAGATGTCATGGGATCTGGTGTTGTGGTTGACGGCACGGTTGCTCAGGATGAGGCTCAGGCGCAGAAGCTGTTTATGTTGCGCGAGGATGTTTCGATGTCGTTAAGCTCACGTGGATACGTGTACAAGTACGACATTTCGCTGCCCATGGATCAATACTATAAGGTCGTAGAAGAGGTTCGTGAGAAGATGGCTCCTCTTGGCGCTGAAGTGGTCGGCTTTGGCCACATGGGAGATTGCAACCTGCACCTTAACATATCTACGCTAGAGTACGACGAGAAGGTGTTCAACGCACTGGAGCCCTACGTCTTCGAGTGGACGTCCAAGTACCGTGGAAGCATCAGCTCAGAGCATGGTATCGGCACACACAAGCCTTCGTACCTGCATCTGTCCAAGTCCGACAACTCCATCCAGCTCATGAGGCAAATGAAGCAAATGATGGACCCTAAGGGAATCCTCAACCCGTACAAGGTTCTACCCACTAGCGAATAGACTTGTTGTTCGAGCGCAACTACAGTAAGTAATCGAAAGTCATAGCCACTTTATCATCCGAAGCACGAACTTTGTTTAGAGACTTCAAGTTGCGATGTCGTTTGAATGTCGTTTGAAGATGCTTGCGCAAATTTCGCCAGTCAAAGCATATTGTACGTACGTCATTTACGATTGTGCCCGGTCCTGAGCATCGATGATTCACCCAGCGCTCCTGCGTATGACACGCCGTCAATTCGGTGCATTCTCGGCCGTGCGCGCATTCTCCACACCCACGCGCAACCCCGCACACGCCTCCTGACTTCCAAAAGCTACTTAAACCCGAGAGCGTGCTCACCGACGCTGATGACACCGAGACGTACACGGTGGATTGGCTCAAGAAGTACAAGGCGCAGAGCAGCCATCAGATGGTGCTCAAGCCCAAGACCACGGAGCAGGTCTCAGCCATCCTCAAGTACTGCAACGAGCGTAACTTGCCAGTCGTACCGCAAGGAGGCAACACTGGTCTCGTGGGCGGCAGCGTGCCGGTGTACGACGAAATCGTACTGTCCACTAGCTCGATGAACAACGTGATCTCGTTCGATGAGGTGTCGGGTATTTTGGTGTGTGAGGCTGGCTGCATCCTGGAGAACCTGGACAACCACGTGGCCAAGCACGGCTACATGATGCCACTTGATCTCGGCGCGAAAGGAACGTGTCAGATCGGTGGTAATGTCGCGACCAACGCTGGTGGTCTCCGTTTGCTGAGATATGGTTCTCTACACGGTACGGTGTTGGGTATTGAGGCTGTACTAGCGGATGGAACGGTGATCGACTGCCTCAGCACCATGCGCAAGGACAACACTGGTTACGATCTCAAGCAGTTATTCATCGGTTCTGAGGGTACGCTGGGTGTAGTGACCAAGGTGTCCATTTTAACCCCTCCTCGCTCTTCATCCAAGAACGTGGCGTTGCTTGCATGTGAGGATTTTTCATCGGTCCAAAAGGCATTCGTTGAAGCCAAGAAACACTTAGGAGAAGTCCTGTCAGCCGTGGAGTTCATGGACCGCCAGTCTCTCGATATAGTATTATCGCAACAAGACTGGACAAAGGATCCCCTCGAGACGCCGAGTCCGTACTACGTATTGATTGAGACGTCGGGTAGCAACTCTGATCATGACATGGAGAAGCTGAACGAGTACTTAGAAAATGTCATGGGCTCTGGCGTCGTTGTTGACGGTACTGTGGCTCAAGACGAAGCACAAGCGCGCAAGTTGTTCTTAATCCGTGAAGACATCACCGTTGCACTTGCTGCACGTGGATATGTGTACAAGTACGACGTGTCCTTGCCGATTGAGCAATACTACAAAATCGCAGAGGAAACTCGGGAAAGACTCGCTCCATCCGATGCCAAGGTGGTGTGTTACGGCCACATCGGTGACTGTAATGTTCACCTGAACATCTCAACGTTGAAATACGAGGAACAAGTGTTCAATGCCTTAGAGCCGTTCGTCTTCGAGTAGACGTCCAAGTATCACGGGAGCATCAGTGCTGAACACGGCATTGGTACACACAAGCCCGAGTATCTCCACCTGTCCAAGTCTGACAACGCCATCAAGCTCATGCAGCAGATGAAGCACATGATGGACCCCAAGGGGGTTCTAAACCCATACAAGGTGCTCCCAGAGGCCAAGTAAACCCATCTGACTCGTTAATAAAAAGCCATTGTCTCTAGGTTCTCTAGCACTACTCGCTCATAACATGTCTGAGCACTACACTAACTGAATTCCGTCGCGAGCTCGAGATTTAAATACGAGACGTCGACGCCACCGAGAACCCGTTCCTGGAGTTCATCTTCGTTGTCGCCTTGAAGAGTCAAATAGAGATGCATTTGCAGATAGCTCGCCCAGCTCTGACACATGGATCCAATGTATTGTGCCGCTGTACTGGAGGCTACATCCAAGTCCAGTTCGAAGTAGTTGCTGCGACAGAAGTAGCGTTGCGTCAGTTTGTTGCCAGTGAGTGCAGGACGATTAGGCACGAGTGTCTGTAAGATCCACGGACCCTCTACAAGGTTCGGGATGAGCTTAAAGCGGTTGTTCCGGAAGTCGTCGTCTCCTTCGTCGCAGAATCTGTTGAACAGACGGTGGAAAGCTGCTGTGTCGTCCTCCTCCGGGTTCTTTGGTGCTGGCGGTATGAGCCAGTACATCACAAGACTTAGATTATCTGCGTTGGGTAGTTCGATACTGACAATGAAGACACGAGAGTCAGGGAACTTCTCGCGGCAGTAAGCGAGTACGCTGTTAGGGCGTGTCTCTTCCTTCATAGCGAGGTGGTGACGCTCTTCAGCAGTCTCGAACTTCCACAGATCAACGTGTAGTAGCTTGCCGATGGCTTTACCGGCCGGTACTTTGACCTGGTCGTCCATATACGTCTTGCCGCGCACCAAGACATCCCTAGCGTCCGGCTCGGCCCACATTTTGCGGATCCCGCGCGAGTGCACGAAAAACGGAGCATCGTCGAACTCGGACGAGGGCGCGAGGTTGTCCGAGCTAGAAATGGTGATGTCCGTACCCCAAGTGTCGGAGGTCACGACCTCCTGCTCCTTGTTATGTGACTCAATGTACTTGTCCAGATCTTCGATTAAAACGTTGTTGATGTCCATGGCCTCGTGTGGCAGACCGCAGCTCCACTCCAAGTCAAGACGCGTGCAGCTTTTGCGACGGCAAATCTGTACGCTCGACGTCGGCATTTAAAGGTAGAAGAAGGAACGACGATGTCCCGGAAGAGAGCGAATATCAAGCACGATGACGCCAATCACTCCAGCTCGATGACATTTGCTCTGGATTGTTTATGGATGGGTACATTGTGTGATGAACATTAAAATCGGAGTGATGGTCGCTTCAACTTGGGAAACCGCACTGGAAATGCCGCCAACATTTATAGCTGTCCTCTTTACGTATCAGTGCGGTAGCAGCGTCTCGTCGTATTAACTAGAGAACAGTCATGGAAGAGCACCAAGATAGCGATGTCAGTAGCATGGTTCCGTCTTTATCCAGCAACAGCCTCCGCGCAGCCGTCACCAGCAACGAGGGACTGGAGAACGAGGAACTAGAAGATGGAGAGATCGGCGTTTTTGCGGGACGAGATAATCTAGGAGCAGCAAGTATCTCTCTAGCTGGAGCCCCTTCGCCCGCCATGTCGGCTCGAGCGTCGGCTTTCCGCTTATTGGAACAGTACTTCGAGGCGGACATGCTGACACTTGACCAGTTGCAGTTCCACAAGGAGAAATACGCCAAACTGCACTCGTGTGTATTGGCAACATACAAACACGAGAAACAACTACTGAAAGAGGCTAAAGCACTCAATCGTGACCTCCTCGGAGAGAAGATTCAGGTCGAGAAGCAGGCGATTCGCAAGGCCGAAGAAGTTGCTGCGTTCTCGTCTGTAGAACGCGAGAAGGACCGAGCATTAAAGGAGCTAGCCGAAGCAGTAGACCGTGATGCAGTCCTTGCCTTTGAAATAACTGAACTACAACGAGAATACGCCGACCTCGTGGCCGAAAAGGAGGCCATTCTAGCTGCTCACGCACAACTCATTGAGCCTGAAGTAAAGCAGCTAACGATCGAGATTGCAGGACTCGCTGAGGAAACTCATCGCTTGGATAGCGAACTATCAAAGGACACACAGCGCAAGAAAGAATATCTGGCACGACTTGACTTCCTACACCAAGAAAACACTCGTCTTGAGCAGACCAGCGCTGCTGAACTTAAGCGTCTGCATCACCTTCAAGGGGATCCTGACCGGATGCAAAAACAAGCAGATGTAGTTGCACGAGCAGTGGCAGCTTTGGATAAAGAGAGCAATAAGGATAAAGCGCGCGCTGGTGAGTTACAAGCTGCTGCTGACTCTACAGCAGCAAAGCTACGCGACGCCGATGAAGTCCATCGTGAACTTGCACAGAAATTGGACGTGCATCGAGAAACGATCGACCAACGACAACGAGACGTAGATCACGTCACATTACACCTTCGAGAAGAGCAGAATGTCAACGTCATGAGGCTTGGAGAGAAGACTCGTCTTGATATTCGCGCTAAGGCTTTAGAACTAGCCACCCGTCGTGAAAACGAACGGTGTACAAAGGCACAAAAAGACTATGACCGCTTGAAACGCGAGCTCAAGAAACAGATTCTCCAACTAGACAGTAGCAAGGCATTACTACCGAATCTTCGCGCTCAAGTAGTTGATGTACAGCATCAAATATCATCTCTTCGCTCGGAAAACAAAGACCAAGCACAGCGTCAACTGGATGTGAAGCAACAGGTAGATCTACTAATTGCTCGGTTCTTAAAGCAAGAAGATGGGGATAAACTCCAAAGCGAAGAGCTTGAAGCTCTATCAGCTCAAGTGGCCGAACTTGAAGCGGAAGTTGCCCAATGGTTAGTCGAGGAAAGTAAACAGAAAAAACTGGTGACAATGCTCACTGCACAACGCGAACTGAAGGCTCGTGAAGCCACTTCGGCGTTAAACTCGGAGCGGCAAACGCAACAGGAGCTTAAAACCAAGGAGCTCGTGATTTTTGACTTAGCAAAGAAGTGGAACGAGACGACAAACCACTTGCGTGAATTCTCGGCATTATACGACGTCGTCAAGAACGAACGCAACAAATATGTGAATCTCATTCAGGCTTCGACGCAAGCACTAGCTGAAATGAAAGAGAAGATCAAGATTCTTAACAACGAAGTAGAAGTGCTTCGAAACGAATCACTAGCGAAGGATAAGGCGCTTGTGAAGGAAAAACTAGCGCATTCAACAGCGCAATGCTCGCGTGACTCGCTGCGTCTCGACACTAACAAGTCGCACGATGCATATCGAACGAAACAGGAACAAGTTGAGCAACAAATTGTTGAAATTGACAAGCTCAATGGGATCATAACGCACACGGAGAAGGAATTGCTACGTCTAAAGAAAAAGTACGAGCTCGCAGTGGATGCACGCAACGGCACTGGTGTGCAGCTCATTGATCGCAATGACGAGTTGTGCATTCTCTATGAAAAATCCAATCTGCAAGAACAAGCTTTAAATTCTGGTGAGACGGGCTTGTCACGCAAAGATCAAGAGATCCGAGTGCTTAAAATCGAGCTCGCTGACCTCCAGCGTCAGCTTGAAAATGCTCGACGACAGCTACCACATCTACCTGAGCTTGCGCAACGTATCTTATTGTTGCAAGAAGATCTCAAGCAAGAGAAAGACGTGACGGAATTGCTCTGTCGCGATCTGGAAACCCCAAAGAACAGCGATCGATGGCGTTCTCTTGGTGGTGAGGACCCCGATGAAGATCAGCTCACCGCTAAATTAGCGTATCTGGAGGATCGATACCACCATAAGAAGGAGAAATTGCTAGAGAAAGAACTGGTGTTAGAAGAAGTCACTGGTCTCTCCAATAAGCTTCGAACGCAGGCCTCTGCACGTCGTGGCGAGACTTTAGAACTGGCTAAACGAGTGAACGATTTCCAAGGTCGAATCAAGGAGACTACACGTCGCATGATGGCTGTTGTCTCGGAGCTATCAATGTATCAAGCTACAGCAATGAAACTCCAACAAGAGAAACATGACGCTTTTGTTGATGTTGAGGACTGCCAAAAGCGCGCACTTGCAGGCTACGCACCAAACGCATATAGCGAGCAGCAACTAGTGCGATTACAAGCTCAAAAGCTACACAACAACGAAACTCGGGCTGCAAAAGAGATGGCAAAAGCTGCAGCTGCACATGCTGCCAACTTCCCGTCTCAGTTCACGTATACAACCGCAGAAGCTCGACCGAATGCTTATATTCCAGATGACCTGGGAATCCCAAAGCCATACGGGCAACAGGCACCTTTCAAGCCTACGGAACAAGGAACAACGATGCGTCATATCCGTGTGCCGCAAAAACGGGATATCGAGATCTAGAGAGCATATTATCGGTTCATTATTGCACGATCATGTTCCAAGTGAACAAGAATTATCCGCTTCCATCAGTAGCGTGCTTCGTGAGCTTCTCATGAGCTTTACGTAGTCTGCTGTCCAGACTGAGCATCTCTGCTACTGACTCCATGAGCTCACGTTTCGTTTTATCCAGTTTTTGTTGTATGTTGTTTGTCAAAGGCTGCAAGCAACTCCACCTCCTTCGCTGCTGCAGTCTGTGCGGTGGCTCGAACTTCTCCTTGTAGCTGTACAATCGATGCCTTTGCACTCGAGAGCGTCTCATTTGAAGCTTCAAGACGCTGGAATGCCTCCTCAAGTTGTTTCTTGTTGGTTGCTAACTCTGCTTCAGCTTGATGTGCTCGAAATTCCCAGATATTACGCTGTTCACACGCTTCTTTAGCCTGCTTCTCATGACGGTTTGCAAATTGAATCATCTCATAGCGCGCTGCCATCGCTAACGTGACAAGTCGTTCCTTCCGCTCGTTTTCCTGCAGTGCTTTATTACGTCAAACCGAACATGTAGAAGCAGAAAGGAGAACGACTAACCTTGGTGAGAGCAGCAATCTTCTTGATCTCTTCTGCTAGCAAGAGCGCTATCCGGTCACGTTCCTGTAATTCACAAAGTCATCAAAAGTATTTCGAGAAGCCACCCCATTTGGCAGAGCTTTTACCCGTTTGAGCTCGTCTTCATCTTCTTGTTGTAAAGTCAACGTGCTGCTTATGTGCTACAAACAGCAATTGTCACGATATTAATCAATGTATCTGCTGCACAGATCATGGGACGAACCTTGTACATGTTGGTCGTGAGCTCTACACTGAGTTTCACTTCTTCAAACGCCTTGATGATGTTAAGCATCTGATCTTCCATCTACGTAAAAAAAAAAGTTAGCACCAGGGTCTTCAGCCGGAAGGTACAAACTCCACCTTCTGGATCTTTGGTAGAAACCACTTCTTCCCGTTTACGTGAGCTCTTTTTTCCTCTTCGAATTTGGCTTGTAAATGTGCGAGGTCGTCTTCCAGTTGCGAGTTCGTCAACATCAGCTTCGAGTTGGTGGTTTTCAACTCAGCCACCTCTCGCTTCAGCTTTTGCATTGCGAAGTGTGTATCTTCGAGCAACATTTCAGACTTCAGGTCACTACTGGTCCGTGTTGGTGACGGTGCTCGTGGCTCCATCGCAACAGCATCCGAGACTTCATCTCCAGCGATAGCTACGACAGAGTGTCGACTTTTAGCTGCGAGTCTCTGGTGCTTCTCTTTTTGAAGTTCCTGCAAGGCCTGCATGAGAATGACGTGAGCACAAACAAAGACAAAATTCGTCGCCGTGACGCTAAGGACACCAACAAAACAATATCCTCTAGCGATGTCTGCTCGCTCCACTTCAGGTGAAAAGGATATATAGAGTTGCGTATCCCACGACGCCAACGCATCTTTCTCCGTCGCTGCGCTATTGCCAATACCAAAGCCTTCATTTGCTAGTGCTTCCGTGTTGCTGCGAGTAAAACCAATGAGCAACACGGTGATAACGTCGTATGACATGGTAACTTCCACGTTATCGTACCCAACTTCAACGTCCAGCTGCTTCTTCTCCTTGACAAGATCCTCTGAAATTCGACTCATTAGATCTCGCCGCATCTCAAAGAGCTCCAACGCAAGAGCTGCTTGCTCCTGACTGCCTCCCATCTTCTCTTTCTTGATATTCTTGTCAATAAAAACCTTAAGCTGTTTCTAAAAACAAGTAAAGCGATCATAAGTGTGTCCATTTCAAGTCCACTGCTTTCATACCGTCTCTTCCTCCATTGCAGAAAGCAACGCTGGGTCCTCATCCCGTTGACGCACAAAATGCACCCGGAACTCCTGCAGCAATCTCAGATCCGAGCGTAAACATCGCAGTCGAGAACCTTCCGCTTCTTCCTGTTGCTTCTGAGCTGACGAACGCAGCAGCGACTGTGCGTAATGAGAGCGCAACGCACGACTATTCTGCAGCTGAAGATCGATATGTTTCGCTAACGCCGTCACGTCTCCTCGCCAGTCTGCTGTCTTCTTAGCAAGACGTAGCGCATCTTTCCGTGCCGCAGCAAGATTACTGCGACCAGTGAAGGTATTGGCACTCGTCACTGCATCTTGCTGCACCCGAAGTGCAGCTGTAATCTCCTCATTCAAGTCCTCAAACTTCTTGTGAAGATCATTCACTTGCATCTTCTCAACTAACGTTAGTATTACTACTTTAGAAATACTGCTGTACGTAGTACGCTTTTAAAAGCCATGAAGCCTAAAAATTCCTATCAAATTTTGGCTTGATTAGATAGAATAGCTACTCTTACTACCTGGTGTTTTCTTTTGGATACGCTCAGAATCGAGTCACCGGCATAAATATCAAACGCACGCACGCACTCGACGGGCAGCTTACTAAAACTTTGCACGTCCGTCGAAGGATGATACACTTCGTCTTGCTCACCTCGTCACTCACAAGCGACTTTACAAAAATGAGGACGAGCTGAAGGCATCCAGGTCCTCACTCAACGTGGCGTCGTGGAGCTCGACATCGTCGTCACGAGCCAGTTTCTCGCGCTCCATCGCAAGTTGCGCTTGGCGAGCACGCTCCGCTTCACGAGCACGTTCTTCTCGAAGACGTTTCTCCTCTGCGAGCTTCGCTGCTTGCTCTTGCTCTTGCTTTCGTCGCTCAGCTTGTTCACGCTCCTTTTCCTTCTCACGCAGCTCGACTTCACGGCGTTTCTGAGCTTCCAACTCATCTGAGCGCTCCTTTTCCTTCTGCTGGATCTTCTGCTGTTTGATCTGCTCCATCGAACGCGCAGAAAGCCACAACGAGCTCGTGGACTGACTGCCATTAGCCTGAGGCAGGGGCGTTCCATTCGGCGTCTCCTTCTTGGCCAGCATACTCCAAGCTCCACGGTTCTCCACACGAAGAGGCTCGGAGCTTGACAGCTGCTCGTCACGGATCTTCTTGGCCGCATCTATTGTTACACAACACAATTTTAGCATCATTATTTAGCCTCTTCGTGAAAATACTAACCGGAATGAACGGAAGCCGAGGGGTCAAGCTGGGATAAACTGGGGGCGCTTGAGAGCGGAGGGGACTGTGGTCATGACAGCAGAGGAGCGTTAATTAATATGACTTGAGCCACCTCCGCTCTAAAGACTCACTCGATCAATTTAAATCTCACAAACCCACCCTTTCGAGAGGAGCACCGCCGTCGTCGTCCGAATCGGATTCACTATCGCTATCACTATCCGAGTCTGACGACTCGGACGAGCTAGAAGAACTGTCCGAGTTCTCGCCAGCCTTCTTCGTGGCTCCAGCTTCCGCACCGCCATCCACGTCTGTCATGGCGACATCTTGGTCTGGGCGTCGATCGCCGTTCTCTTGTGTGCGCGGCGCGCCGTTTCCGTCGCGATCTATAGCTGCCAGCTGGTTCTTCAGCTCCTCCTGCCGGTTACGGATATTCAACGCCGCCACCCTTGGCAGACTTGAGCCGCTTTTCAGCTGGCTGCATCTTCGACTTCTTGGTCGGACGCTTCCGTTTGCGACCAATCCCGTTTTCCTACAGAGCAGGAGACAAGTCAAACACTTGCTACTGGTCCAGGTCATGTGTAGCTTGAAGAGGTCGTGAGATTCTTACCCTAACATATCCTTCCAGCATTCGCAAGCACCTCGTGTCGAACGCGTTGATGTCTAACTCTACTTCGTCGTTCTCGTTCGCCAAATTAGCGACAGGAACAGCTTCCGCAATGATCTGAAGGACACGATTGATCTTGTCCTGCGGAAGTAACTTGATGTCGGAGCTCAATCGAGCCTTGTCCATCTGACTCATGGGCTCGTTCAGCTCTTCTTCAGTTAAGTCGTCCATCTTGAACGGCCTGAACGAGATGAAAACACATGTCAATACACACATACTCCATCAAAAACTAAAGAGTGCGCAACATACTTGGCAGCCTTTGCAGACTTGGACGCAACAGCCTTCGCCATGGCCGGTTGCAGCTGTTCCAGAGTCGCTTTAAGACGCTCGATATCTTCCTTTAGCGACATGATCAAGCCATTATCTTCGCCAGACGTTTGTCGCTTCGTGTTGCCCTTCGTACCCTTGCCACCTCGGACCTTCTTGGACGAATATGTGCCGTCCGCTTTCCGGTCCTTCTTCCTTACATCCACACTTTTACTCTTGGTAGACAGCTTGACATTCAGACTCTTGAACCGCTTTTCAAAGTCGTCCACAAGTTTACGGGCATAGATGTGCACTTGACTGTGGGCGGCGTTATAGAGCGTCGCGTTTCGGAATGTCAGTCGCACATGCTCGGCGAAATCCGACGGACTGTCATAGAAACCAGACTCCAAGTTGTTGCGGATTGTTCCGAGATCCATCGGCTCCTTAATGACGTGGAAATAGTCCGGAATACCTAACGCAACAGGGTCCACGGGTGCCATAAAGGGTGCCGCCTTAGGGTTCGCCATCAAACCCTTCAGAATACTCAGACACTTCTTCATACTCATAGGGGCTTGGTCCAGTTCGAGGATATTATCCTCACGTAGATGTGCAGGGATAGAGCGCTTCCTCTCCGAGCGTCCAAGTACCAAAGACGGAGACAAATAGTCGGACACTGGGGTGCCCACACTTCGTGGAGCGACAATCGTTGGTGCAGGTTTAGGCGTCACAGTCTTTGCCACCTCTACTGAGGCCGTAATAGCCGCTACGCCCGGTGCAGAGATCGACAAAGCCTTCACTTCACGCTTCACAGCGGGTGTAGCTGCTCGCGCTGCCCTTGAGCGTCTTGGTAGTGTCCGTTTTACTGGTTCCTTTGGCTTGTAGACTTTATATAACCGCAGTTCATTCGTCTCTTTGTCCAGGAACCCATGCAACGAAAACACACCGAAGCGGTTCTCACCTGAGCCAGTGACCACGAAGTGCGTCGGGTTACTCGCGTCGTGTACGAATCGGATCTCCACGTCTTTCTCCGCTACAGTCTGGTGTTTGCCCTTGACGGCTTGGATCTGGAAGGAGCCGCTGTACTTTCCCTCGAAAGGCATCGCTGAGCGCACATTCGCGTTCGTTTCGTAGCCCAAATACACGGGTGTCACTTCGTTCGCAGCGGCGTTTGTAGTCTTGGAGGAACGCGCAAGCGCTGAGCCAGACATGGCGGGATGAACGCTGTCAGCTGCGCCGGCACATTTCGGGATCGCACCCGCTGCTCCTCGGGAACTCATCTCGAAAGAAGCTAATGTACTCCGTTTGGTTTAAATGTCAGCCTCGCTCATTTCCCCACATATCAGCAACATTACAGCACGCTTGTCTTGGATGTAGTACTTTCCAACAAGTAGTGGTGCATATTGTAGTACTTGGCGCGGGAGATCCGGGACAGGTTTGATCTTTTTCACATCAAGATCTTTTTCCGTCTTGATAACCGCATGACCAATATCCTTGACATCGCTAATGGCCTTTGTGACTGGCGGAGGCGTTGGAGCAGTGCCGTTGGGTTCCTGCTTTATCGTGACATTGTTAGTGACGGAGGCAGGCGCGGGCTTCTGCTGTGTTTGCTGTTCGACCATCATGACACAAACGTGCACGCTGTCGAGGTGCCCTCGGGGCGTGCCCGAGGTCCACGGAGTTGCGCTGTCGTTGGGACTCACTACTTCAATGCGCGCCGTCTGGAACACTGCGTTCTGGTCGTCTTTCGCGGCCTTGTGGGGCTGCACCACCTCGTCTCGAGGATCGTTCAGTCTTGGATCACCTATGGTGGCTGAGGGCGCCAGCTTGGGCGAAGCCGGCCGCGTAATCGCAGTTAGCGGAGAGGCAACTGTTGTCACGGGGCCCGAGTGGCTGCTGGGAGGCGCCGATGGGTCCGAGGGCTTTGCTCTCTTTTGAGGAATGACCTCAAGTTGCCGCGGCGCGCGAATTTGGACAGTGCCTTCGGAGTGATGGTCACTCCAAAAAGAGGGCGGGCGTGTATTCGGGGGGCCTCGCCTGCCACCGCTCGATTGCTTTCGAAAATGACTGAAATTCGTTTCTGGGAAAACGAAGGAAAGAAGAACGGCCGCAGAATCGAATAACCTCGGCGACTAACCACGTGACTTGGGTTCAGTAAGGTACGATGAAAAAACCTCGACCTCCCCATATCAGGAATGGCAGGGATTGGTGCCGTCCCCCGCAAAAGACGATCACATTCTTCGCTCTTTTTGGCCCGAAAGATGCCCCTAGACCGCTAAATAGATCCCTAGCCTGGCTTTTACTGCGAATGACAGCGGTGGCGGCGATCGTGTCTTTAGTCCTGGGGTCTTCGACGCTGCAACACTTGCTGTAGCTTGTTGCTCGTCAGTCGCATGTCCGCCGTTTACTCTGCAGCCGTTTGGGACTCCCGGCGCAAACTGCCGTCGTCTTGAACTCAGATTGAAACCCCCTCCCAGACGATTGCACAGATTGGCCAAAAATGCAACTCCACAAACGGGCTGTCTGTAAAAGACTGCGACGTAATGGTTTCCCCGAATTATGTCGTCCCGAATCTGATGAACCAATCATTACAGCACACCTCACGCGGGTTCGACCCGTTTAGGTAGCGCGCCAACCCGTCTGGAGCGAACGCCATCCATTTCCCGTACCCAGCAAAAGAACAACGGTTCGAGAAAAGGGCGGGGGGATCAATGAGACGTCGCATGCGGAGATCGGAGGAGATACATCGGGCAAAGGCGACGATGCTTGTTGTCGTTGTCCCCGCCGAAATACAGGTACAGGAACAGGTTGTCGTCGTCGGGGAGGACAGGATAGCAGGTCGGCCGATGGGGCCCTAGAGCCTCAAGTAAACGCAGAATACGGTGCACGAAAACTGCCAGTCATATGTCGCCACGTACAGATTCACGGTATTGCTCTTATAGAGGGAGTTGCCTTCCAAGTGGATAATGTTAGATTGGACCAGATGTACGCTAGATGTACCCATGAGGTTACGAAAGGGTACGCAAACACAAAGATCGAGCAATAAGATCTGATGAAAAGGCTTCGATATCCTTCAGCGGATCTTGTCGAGAAGATCTTATAGATCATGTGCTGCAATTAGACTGAAACAAGTATCGGTAATGGCAAAAGATGGAGACCGTTTTATTAACCTTTTCCAGTTTATCGCGTAACGATGATCACATCAGAGCCCATTGCGAACGAGGTCCTGCACCATATTCTTGTGGTGTGACTCGTTAGTGCCGCCTCCAATCTCGAGCAGCTTGGAGTCGCGCCAGAGGCGCTCCACGTTGTACTCGCCCACGTAGCCGTAGCCACCCAGCGTTTGGATGGCGCGGTCCGCTACGCGCTTCGCCATGTCGCCGCAGTACAGCTTGACACCGTCCGTGTCTACGCGGTTACCCACCGAGTCTAGCTTGAGTTTCCTGTAATATTTCGAGTGTTGTTAGCATAATTTCGCTCTACCTATACACATCAACGCACCTCGCTGTGTTGTACACATACGCACGCCCAGCCATATACTCCGCGTAAGACTCGGCAATGTTCTTCTGGATCTGTCCAAAGTTATTCAGCGGCTGACCGAAGGCCTCGCGCTCCTTAGCGTAGTTGCTCATGACCTCAAGCGAGCGTCGAGCAATGCCCAGACTCATTGCAGCCAACGTCACGCGCTCGATCTCGAGATTACGCATCATGCAGAGCACGGCGCTGCCCTCTGTGCCCACAATGTTCTCAACAGGAACCTTACAGTTCTCAAACACTAGCTCCGCCGTGTTGGACGCGCGCATGCCGCATTTGTCTTTAATGCGTTGACCCAATGAGAAGCCTTCAAAGCCCTTTTCAACGAGGAACGAAGAGAAGTCTTGCTTAGCTTTCCCCGAGTTGCCAGTACGTGCATACACCAAGAAGGTGTCACCCAACTCAGTGTCATCCAAAGCTCCGTTCGTAATCCACATTCTGTATATACAGCGCGCGTTAAGCTCCTAATCAGATTAGATACCAAGTAGAATACGTACTTGGTTCCGTTCAGCAGGTAGAACTTGCCACAGTCAGACTTTTTCGCCGTTGTACGCATGCCTAAGACGTCTGTACCCACTGAGGGTTCACTCATGGCCATCCCGCAGATCTTAGCGCCTGAGCAGGCGTCAGGAAGATACTTTTGGCACTGAGCGTCCGATGCATTGCGCGCTACGTTGTTCACGAACAGCATCGAGTGTGCCAAGAAGGACAAACAGAAGGCTGGGTCGCTGGACGAGAGCTCCTCGTGGGCGATCACCGCAGCAAGTGCATCCATCTCCGATCCTCCGTATCTGTCGCAGCATTTAGTGAGTCATGATCTTAGTAGTGTAGTTAGTTGTCAGTCTTACTTCTCGGGTGCCGTGATGCCCAGCAGACCAAGGTCTCCCAGCTCGCGGAAGAGCTTGACGTTGAATTTCTCTTCGCGATCATGTTCCAAAGCCTGCGGATCCACCTTGGTCTTTACAAAACCTGTAAGCATCTCTCGCAAAACACCATGTTCTTCCGTGGGCGTGAATAGGTCGAGGTCCCTACTGGACGACTGTTGGCAGCCACAATCCTCATTAATGCCACATAATTCGTCGCTAGCTCTGGTCAACACGCACCATAGACCGAGCGAGGCTGCATTCGGCCGCAGTGAAGGAGCGACGGGCTGCAAAGAGAGGCTGGCGAAGCTGTCGGAGCATTAGGTGCGATGTACGGAGGGAATCGACGAGTGACGCCCAACTTCAAGTGAATGGCGAATTCGTGTTCACCACATCAAGTTGAAGTGTGCAAACTTGGCATTTTTTTTGTATGTCAGCAATTGCAAATGAGCCAAAATTAATGAAGAAGAAACTCCCGTGCTTCATCACTCGGGTTGATAGGATGCAGCGGCATCATGGTGATGACCGACGCCGAACACATGGTACGAGGCTGGCATAATTCTGTTCAGGTTTAGTGAAGCTGACAGTGCTACGGGCTGCTTGAAGGGAGGTCCAGAGGCTCTAATAACGATGAGGATGACACACGCGTAAGCTTTTGTGCTATGATGTTGCTTGTCTATAGTTTTCTAAGCTTTGCGCATATGATAGCTGCCACTTGCAGTGAGCAAGTTGCGTATTGAAGAACCAACGTCACCTGCGCATCAGGAGGAAGAAGAAAATCATGAAGACCACGAAGAGCTTGAGTCTCGTGCATCTCGCTCGCGGGCAGGCAGTAATACCAGCCAGCGAAGTGCTAGTAGCAGTATTTACGACTATCTAGACGCTCTGGAAAGCGAGAGTGCAGTCCAGCTACCGTCTATCACAAGTCGAGCGTCAAGTGCACCTTTGTATCGTGCTAGACACACAAGAAGAACGTCAAAGGAGTCTGCATGGGAGAACGGCTCAAGACGTACAAACGGCAGCAGTGTCAACTCCCCGCTGCACTCAACTCGCTCCGCTTTCAGTAGCCGAGACGACGGCAATAACTCGCATCAATACTATGTCGGTATCAAGGAAAAGTTGGCAACAATAACGATCGAGTTGAATGTGGGTATGCACTGGTGCAACTGCCGATGCTAAGCTCGCGAACTAATACCTACGCTGTCATTTTTAAAGGACAAGACGAAAACTATTGAGCTACTGAAGATGGCTCGTAAGAAAGATGCCGCTAAGACCAAGCAACTATTGGCAGAAGCGGAAGAGCACATGAAAGAAGCACTTGCTGCACAGCAACAGAAATTCAACAAAGAACTCGAAAAGCAAATGGATTTCGCGCAAAACCTTGTGACAGAAAAGGTAAGAAAAATAATAACTTGTATGTTTTGAGAATGTTGCTAACTGTTTACTAGTCTAAACTGGCAAAGCGATGTGAAGAGTTAGTGGCCGAGGTTCAGAAAGCTAAAGCCGATAACGCACGCGAAGTTGAGCGCTTTAAGCTGAAGCTGAAGGATGCCAAGGAGCGGTGGACAGTGCAGGAAAAAGTTCGCCGAGACCAGTGGATCGTCAAGAAGACGGAGGAGATCAAGAAATCGACCGTCACCGCGTTGGAGCCTGACATCCAGATCATTCTCGCTAAAGGCAAGACAGATCTGGAGAAAGCACGCGAGGCTGCCCGTGAAGAACGTCGAAAACTGCAGATACAGTTAGAAAAAGAGCGTGATGTCGCGTTGCAGCGCTTGAAAGACGACTATGAACGAAAATTGGTCGAGGCAAGAGAGAAGGAACGTGGTAAATTCATGACGCGCTTAGATGCCGCTGACGCGGAGTTGCAGCAACAGCTCAGTACGCAACGTCGACGACTACAGGAAGAGGGCGAGGCAACAAGAAATGAATTATATGCCGAAATGCGCGCAGCCAAGTTGGCACATGCCAAAGAATTGGACGAACTTAAAGCGTTGCATATGCAGAAACTACAGACTGCAGCCGAGAAGATGCAGAAGGAGAAACAAGAGATTATGGCCAAGTATGAGAGCGAGTTTATGGCTCTACGGGGACAAATGAGTGTCGAATGTGAGCAGTTCAAGGCGCAACTTACCATTAAACTACGCGATGAAATGAGTAAAGAAAAACAGGAATTGGAGAAGCAAATGTTGCAGTCTCGTGATGCAAAGATCGAGTTGGTGATTGAGAAACTCCAGGAAGAAAGCAGACAGATGGTCGAGCGTGCTGAGCGGAAGGCACAGAAGAAGTTCAGCCACGATCGAGCCGAGTACGAGCGTAAACTCAAACAAACAGGCGAGATCGAGGGCGTGTGGATGGAAAAGAACCGCGAACTGCATGAAAAATTGAGCAAGCTGGAGCGACAACACGACGAGTTGAGGCGCGAGAACGAAGCGCTTGGACAGGACTTGCACCAGGCAAGCGACAAAACGAGCGACTTGGCACGTCGTCTGCACGAAGAGCGAAGGCAACACGAAGCCTCCGTGGCGCAACTGGAGAAGCGCTGCATCTCTTTACAGACCGACAGCGAGTACACTCAACAGCAACAGAGCGTTGAGGTCACGTCCCTCCGTGAGAAACAGGCAAGTATGGAAAGTCATTTCCAACAGCAAGTCCAAAAGTTGCGTGATGAACACGACACGGCGTTGGCAAATTTGCATGAACGTGTAAAGGCAACTGTTGCACGAAAAGATCAGGCTATTGCTGAGTTTCAGGAGGAACTCCATTTGTTGCAAGTCAAGCTGGACAAAAGTCACGCTCTCATCGAAGAGCAACGTTTGCAACTTTTCAGTTAGTAAAATACAAAAACATTTTTTTTCAAAGCAGTTGGATTCCATTTGGAAAAATAAGAATAAAGGCTTCGGAGACACGACACCGCGTCGCTCCAGCGAATACGAACTAGTAAAAGAACATAGTGGCAGGCGATAATGTAGCTTACTTCTTGGCAGTCTTCTTAGCCGCCGACTTCTTCACCACTTTCTTCTTGGTAGTCTTGGGCTTTTTAGCCGTCACCTTCTTTGTAGACTTGGTGACCTTCTTAGCAGTAGGCTTCTTGGCTGTTTTCGTCGTCTTCTTTGTAGACGTCTTCTTCGCAGCGGGCTTCTTAGCCGTCTTGGTAGACTTCTTAGCGTCAGACTTCTTGGCCGACTTAGCGGCAGGCTTCTTTGCAGAGGTCGCCTTCTTAGCAACAGGCTTGGCAGCAGGCTTCTTGGCGGCGCCCTTCTTCTCCTCAGCAGCCAGCTTAAACGAGCCCTTCACGGGCACCAGCTTGCCGGACTCGACTCCACGCTTCAGCGCGATGTTAAGGCGAGACTTGGAGTAACTGGCGCCCTTCTTTGCGGCGACGTACTTGTCGATGGCGTGGCGAGACGAGCCCGAGCGCTCCTTGAGAGTGAACACAGCCTCCTTGATGAGGTCGTAGTAGCCGGGGCCGGCGTTGGCCTTCTTCGTGGACGGAGCGGACGGCATCTTGGTGTATGGGTGGAGCTTGGGACTTTGGTCTTGAGACTTGAGCTGGAGTTGGAAAATTCCGTTGTAAGCGATGTCAAAAACTAAAAAAATCTCGTTTTTCACGGAGTCGTCACATGTCTTTCGACAGGCCCGTTGAAGTGGAGCTTTTACTTGATTTTTGTAAGCATTTCGAGCGCGCGCGTAAATTTAAAATAAAAATCCGCCAATCAGCGTGCGAAGATCGAAGACATCAAGAAAAAAAGCACCTGTACAAAAAAAGCTCCGGCTTCCTCGCAAAAGCGCGGCGACAGGAACGCCAGTGAAAACACTGGATGTATAGAGACGGGATGGAGGATGGCCAAAGGGAGGGGGGTCACGTAGGAATCGCCCAAGTTAGTCTGTGGACTGCCACGCGGCGTGGGAGTGCTCGGCCTCTAGAGAGCGCCAGCGCACCGCGCACATATGTGCGGCTTGCTCATGACGTGCCCAACGTTGGGGTTATGCTCGTTTCGGCGTGGGGTCCGCCGTTGCCATGTCCGAAATTAATGTCACGAAAAGATTTTAGGATTGTCATTAAGGCCGGTTTGGACCTTAAATGTCACCTGTCCCATAATGACCCATTGAGTTTCCAGGCGGAACACCAACGGGCCAGGCGCTCTACCGGGTGCTAGAATGATCGGTGGCTATTTAAAATACGCTGAGTAGTGCTCAAGACAGGGGCGATTCTCTCTTTGCAATTCTTATTGGCCAGATCGACCTACAGCGCACGATATCGCTCGCTTAATGAACCTCTACTTCCATTTCCATTTTCGTCGCGCGGGGCCAACCGCGGACACCTTGGTTGGGGCCAAGAAAAGGCCGGTAAAAATACACCGTTTGTCTATTTAGCCCTTCAATACATTAATATACTTCGTAATAGAGCTGTCAGCTCGATCCGAGCTCCGGTATCATGCTTCAACCGTGTACACAGGCGTCGAATTTACAGCGAGGAAACCTCTCCAGCCTTCCTAAACAATGCTAATCTCAGTCGGCAGAAAAAAACGGGCAACAACCAAACGGTTTGTAAAATATCAACATACTATTTTACAAAGCTCCAGCTGAAGCCTTTATATGATCTGCTCTAAGTGTTGATGCTGCCAGCCAATGCATACCTTGTCGTTAAGGAGGTTGGCCACCGGCATGACTTCGCTTGCGCATTTCATCACTCCCACAAGAAAGCTCGCAATCCTGCATAAAAGTGGGCTCAGTTTAAAACAGCATGTCTAGTTTCTTGCGAGAGGGATTATTACATTTAAGAGGGTGTTGATGAGGTAGCTCCGATGCCAGAGACTCGCAACGCTATTCCTATCCTTGGGACAAATTCGTATTCCCTCCGATTCCGAATTAGATGTTGTTCAGCTTTCCACCCATCCATACCGATACTGTATGAGTCATAGAGAACATATTACACAGCAGCCTACATCGATACCGCGGAAGCTATGAGCGACGGTCCCATGGGACTTAAACACTGCTGTCAACTGCGAAGCGTCAGCTACTGATGGACACGTAATTCGTTACCCGACTACCGGTAGGTGTACACACGATACCGTTGGGCATCAAGCCATGTTCCAGTTGGTTGCAGTCTGCAGGCTTTCGTCAGTGGTGCCGCAGCAAATCAATGTTTGACTGGACAACGTTAGCTGATGCATCCATTACATAAAAAGTAAAAAACTTATTTAACATACCCTTGTTAAGCATAATAATAATTCACAGGAGATGGGAAGATCCACGTTGTTTTAAACTCAGATCGAATAGCTCCGATTCAGTGTTGCTTACTGGCAGCTCATTCCCGAAAATCCTCGGCATCGACTTCCTGCAGCGATCATGCTTTCTCCTCGTGCTATCCAGTCCGCTCGTGGCGTCGCCACAAAGGCCGCGACCGGCAAGTGGCTGGCCAGCGTCCCCATGGGCCCGGCTGACCCCATTCTCGGTCTGACCGATCGCTTCAACAAGGTGCGAATAGAGTTCCCAAAAGATCCCAAAGTGATACATTGTCTGACTCTACTTAAAATTGTAGGACACGGACTCGCGTAAGATCTCGCTGGGCGTTGGCGCCTACCGTGATGACGATGGTAAGCCGTTTGTGCTGCCGTCAGTGCTTGAAGCCGAGAAGCGCATCATGGCTGCCGGTAAGAACAAGGAGTACGCCGGTATCGCCGGTATGAAGGACTTCGTGGACCTGTCGCTGGAGTTCGCTTACGGCGAGGACTGCGAGGCTCTGAAGGAGGGCCGTATCACCGGTGTGCAGACTATCTCTGGTACGGGCGGTGTGCGTCTTGCTGGCGAGTTCTTTAACAAGTTCCTGGGCAAGAACACCCCCGTGTACCTTCCCAACCCGACGTGGGGCAACCACATCCCCATCATGAAGAACGCTGGCATGGAGGTGCGTCGCTACACGTACTTCGAGCCTGCTTCGCGTGGTCTGGACTTCAAGGGTCTCATGAACGACCTCGAGGGCGCCCCCGATGGATCGGTCTTCCTATTGCACGCCTGCGCGCACAACCCCACAGGTGTGGACCCCACGATTGAGCAGTGGCAGGAGATTGCGGACCTCATGAAGACCAAGAAGCACGTGCCGTTCTTCGACTGCGCCTACCAGGGCTTTGCCTCGGGTGACGCCTCGCGTGACGCTGCTGCCATCCGCCACTTTGTCAAGGAAGGCCACAACATCTTCCTGTCGCAGTCGTACGCTAAGAACTTCGGTCTGTACGGTGAGCGCGTGGGTGCTCTGAGCGTCGTCACGGACAGCAAGGAGGAGGCTGAACGCGTGCAGTCGCAGCTCAAGATCATCATCCGTCCCATGTACTCGAACCCGCCCATCCACGGCTCCCTCATCGTGTCGACGATCCTGTCGGACGCGCAGCTCAAGAAGCAGTGGTACAGCGAGTGCAAGGCCATGGCTGACCGCATTATCTCGATGCGTACGGCTCTCCGCTCGGCTATCGAGAAGATCGACGCTACTAACGGTGTCCAGTCCAACTGGAACCACATCACGGACCAGATCGGCATGTTCTGCTACACTGGTCTGACGGAGGCCCAGGTGGCGCGCATGATGGATGAGCACCATATCTATTTGACCAAGGACGGCCGCGTCAGCATGGCTGGTGTCACGACCAAGAACGTTGAGTACATTGCGAAGTCCATCACCGAGGTGGTGCAGAACGCCTAAGCATGCGCGCGTGTGTGCATACTGTATCGGGTGGACAGAAAACGAATCTCCACGTCCATATGGGGAAAATGTTGCTGGAGCGACAATACTGTTGTTGCAGTGGCAAGGTGTTGCATAACCACAGGCAAAAAATACAAAACTAAAAATGGTTTGAAACACTTAACCCCTTGGTTCCCGGAATTTATGACAGCTAACGTATAAGTCACGGTACTGTTATGTCGTAACTTACGACGTGCGTAGTTACTTTGGTTCTGTATGATGTGCATAGACGTCTGCGGGAAGCGATATTAAATCTGAACAGGTTTACTGAGGAATGTCGTAAGTTATACTCCTTTCTTGTGTTCATCACTAGCTCAATGTCGTAACTGACACCGATGGATGAAAGAAAGGGCGCGAGAGCCGGCACCTAGAAGGAAAAAGACGCAGCAACCCGTGCATCAAATCTGCGAAAACTGCATTACAACTCATAAGTTACCACAAATCAAATCTGACACCTGGCATTTCATCACTTCTCTTGTGCACAAACTGGTCTCACTGGTTTTTGTCATTATCATTTCCAGACCCCTCGTCGTCTGCTTCCCCGTTGTGAAGCTGTAATTCTCGGCGAGTCTTCTTCCGCAGTCCAGCTTTCTTCCCGGGACGCCGCAGCACAACTCGTTTCCCTAAGGTGACAGGGATCGCCTGACCGCAGTCAAAATCGGCATGCCAGATTGCAAAGCAGGTCTTTGCTTCACCCCTGTAGGTATGCCGGATCTTGTTACAAAGCCAGCATTTGGCGTTGTCCAGCGAGCAGCGCTCACAGAAGAAAGTCGTAGCGTAAGATTTCTTTTTTTTGTCGGTCCTGAGTAATGCGCAGACTTTACAGGACCGCTGGCGTCGCTTTTGCACACCGCTGACAGTCACCCAATCTTCCGACTGTTCCACTTCATGGGTAAGCCGCACTGGAGCACGTTGGCGCTTTTGGCGTAGCGGTGGTGGAGTCGCCACGACACCATCAAAGTCTTCAGCCTTGAGCTGGAGAAGCTGATTCTGAAGGATGCAATACCAGTCTCCACGCCTCGTCGCCGGCGTTCCAGCAATTCGTGCGGTTTCCTTATGTGAAATGTATGCGTTCACTAACGCTAGGTCGACGAGCCCCAAGAACAAACTCATGTAGTATTTCTTGAACTTGGTCGACGTCTGTAACGAGAACTTCTGGAGGCGGAGTTGATCATGAATATCAACTCCTCCCATCCAGCGCTGATAATCCGTCACAGCTGCAGGACATGGCACAGTAACTGGTCCCACGCGCTTCACATTCCTATTGATTGACGAAGCCGTCATCACAGAGCCCGTGCACAAGTAATGCACGGGTTTGCTGTCCCACCATTGGTATGCCACCATACTTGGGACAGCAATAGAACGGGAGAATGTGAACGCCCCTCGAGGAATGCTTGCCGGTCGTGTCTTCCTAGTCGCTTTGACATTATTGTCAAAGCCAAGTCTGTCCGTCATTATAGTGCCCAACACGTAAACACTTATACCAAGGAGCTCGATCGCAAGAAGGACTGACGAGTAGAATCGATCAATCACGACTAAGTGCCACAGATGGCGACGATTTTCGTGAAGCACGCTCTTCAGGTTACGAACAACCGCCGCAGCACCTGTCTTATGGTCGAATGAAGAGTCGCCAGTGTCTCCAGCATTTCGTTTTCCAGCGTACATTTCGAATCTAGTACGTTACAACATAGATGTTAGACAGAAACTCAAAAGGCGTAAGTTACGACATAAGTTAAAAATACAGTACCTGTGGCAGTATGCTGTTATTGCATCACACAACATAAATATTTTCGTGCCATACCGGTGAGGTTTGTCCGGCATAAACATCCGGGTTGAATTGCGCTTAGAAGTGGAAGGAAGAACGCCTTCATCGAATGAGAACACTGCCGGAAGAGACCATCCAGCCAGAAACCGGTCCTGGAGCTTGGTGACAACGGGCCGAAGTTTCCACAGCTTGTCACGTGCACGCTCACCCTCGTTGTCCACAAAGTGAAGGTCTCGTAAGATGTCTTGGAAGCGGTTGGGACCCATGAACCGGCCAAATGTTCCAGCCGGAACTGCCCCGTCCTCCGTCATCGACCAGTGTGCCGCAAGGCGGCGGTTCTGTGGGCATAACATCCGTGCAATGAGAAGTCCTAGGACCTGGAGGATTTCGTGCGTCTGGTACGCTGGTTTTGATTTTAAACGCCGGCGGATTTGTGTGAGGGTTTCTCGTTTAGGCTCCAGCTGCTTGACGTGTATTGCTTGTGCCCGCTTTTCGATCTGTTGCATACTGTACCGGTTTGTTTCAACGTTTATCATCACCCACAGTGATTTTGGCATATAGTAGAAGAGAGTCAGAAGCGGTGAATGACAGACGCTGCGTAGCTCCGGTACAGGCTTGCCCACTTCTGCGTTGAGTCCCGGGTACGCGGGCGACGCTTCCTCAAACTCCGACGATACGGGAGACCATTCCGTTGCTCGTAATGCGTTAGCTCTTGCCTCCGCGGCTTTTTTGTTGACACCATCTTGCCCTATAAGAAGTGATTCGACGAATGCCTCGTCCATGTGTGGAGCGTCAGCGTCCGATACGACATCATCATCGCTTGGAGTATCCACTAAGGGGGAATCTTCGTCGCCGTCGTCCACGCCGTCGCTGTCGCTCTGGCCAGAGCTGAGACTTTCATAGGCGCTCATATTTTCATCCTCTGGGACAAAGTTAACATCCGGCTTGACGTTGGAGAGTGAACGAAGCCTCGAGCCTGAGGGTGCAGCGCCAAAGTCATCTCTTTCAGCCTCACTATCAATGCCAGAAGCTTCCGACATTAAGTGAAGGCTTGTTGCTGCATTTAGATGTGATTCAGCAGCTTCGAGCTCTCCCGATGATAGTCCAAACGCTCGTGGCACTGCGGCCTGCGAAAGCTCGACGTCTGAGTCACTCGAGGAGCCAAAGAGATCATCAAGTGTGTGTTGTGACAGCTGTGCTCCTGTGTCGATCTGCGATACTCGAATATCACTTTCCTCAACGTTTTTGCCATTGGGGCTGGCGTTGTCTTCGGTCTTCTCTTCTTCATCCTCGCTATTCGCCAGCAAACCGGACTCTATCGCATGCATCACGACCGCATCTTCTCCAACAAATACCTCGACGCCATTCGGAGTCACGTACCTCCACTCCGTCTCGATGCCGCTTGGTCTCTTCGATGACCATCCAACTGCTCGCAGCTGTCTCCACAAGTGCTTGAAGTCGATGTCCCTGGCAGCAGCAGCAACAGCATCTGTCTTGCCACGCGTACTGGACCGGATGCGCACCATTGCGCAAATTCTGGAATGGCACGGTTACACCTTCCTATCCTATCCTTATCCACGTGTCTCTTTCCCGTTCCCTCCGTCTCCGGCCTGTTTCTGATGCAATTTTGATTTACCTCTCCCATCTTATTTTCCTGAATTGACTTGAATAAAGTATGGTTTGAGCCATTTTCTGTTGTTGCTTTCTCTATGTCGTAAGTTACGACATACTAAATTTGCTATGGCGTAAGTTACGACGTTGGGAACCAGGGGGTTAATACTTTTTAGCAAATGTTGCTTGATTTTAATCAGATTGACTGACGCTCGCAACAGTGTTTCCCTGATTGACTGACGTACGCAACAGTGTACCCCTACTTGTAGGTCCTAATGCAGACAATCTTCAGTGCTTGACGTTGACTCAGACGTAGCTGGCGATGAGGTGCTGCTGCTCTCTTTCGCTTGAAGGAACTCAGTTTTCCTAACGAAGCGTCCTTTAACGCGAGGGCAAGAGTTGGCAAGACGCTTGCGGCAGTCGTATTTGACGCGCTTGTGGTACACGCGAAGCTTTCGCTTCTCATGGAAGCGCTTCAGTCGCTCACGACGCTCAGCAGGTGAGTAGATGCCAATTTTACGCTTCGGCGCTTGGTACTGGGCTTGGAATTGCTGACTCAGCGGCACCTGTACGTGATACATGCTGGCTGCAAGCCCCGGGCTCAGCAACCTTGGTTGCATTCCATGAAAACCGTCAACGCGGCCACAATACACGCGTGGGTCGTAGGAAGACGTACTCCATGAAGCCTGATCGAGACTTTTAGTGCGTTTAAGAACTCGAGCAAAGTGGTCGTTAAAATTAGCTTCAAGAGAAGCACAGCGTTTAAGTTGACGGTGTGTCGATGCAGGAATAGAGGAATTTTCAGCTGATGTGGGGAACTTGATCGTTTTGCAAGAAAGTTTTAAACTCTTTCGTTCTTTTCCACTGCGTTTTATCATGCTGTCCGATGAGAACAGTCTGAGGTCATTGTCCGTGACAAGAACCTTCTTGTCAACAGTAGTTGGCGAGACCACGCTACCATCTTTCTTGGGGGGTGAACTCTTCGAGGGGCCTCTGTCCTTGCACGTAATAGTGTGGACTCGGAGCTTCGTTTTCGCCGGTGGTAATAGTTTGCCGTGAGATGGCGTTGAAGATTGAGACTTCGTCACCGTAGTCACCTTTTCCTGAAAGACATCATTGGCGAGATACGACGAGAGCTCGTTGGCGGAATGCTCACTTAGAGGAATATCCTGCCACTCGTCGCCTGACTCTTGAGTTTTTTTCACTTTCGGTGAACACCCTTGCTCCGATTCGTGGAAATTCTCCTGCGATAATTCCTGGAAGTAAGACCGGGTAGAGCTCACAATCGGCTCCGGTAGCAGGAAGTCCATGTCGGTGAGCTCCCACGGATTGATGAAAAATGGAGACGCATTGGCGCTATTAGCGACAGTCTGATCGTCGCAATTTGGTGCCATTTCAAGATCGCTGACAACCCAATTGTGCAGTTGGAGATTGCTTGGATGGCGACGCGTTGCGGGACTCGTCGAGCTCGAAAATGACCTTCAAAGCGGATCCCGATGGACCATTGCCAAGGATATGCCGACGCTTCGCGCTCTTATTCGAAAAAAGCAAGGGCTCACAATCGCTTCGCAAGCGGCCCCGGATCTTGTAGGCGACTACTTGGCACACAACAGATTCGACTTGATCGATCGTGTGCCAATGTTGAAGTCTGCGGGCTTCCATTACTGAAACGATTGCAAGAATGCCATATTTTGGCTACTGTATGTTGAATGTGGCAGAATGCCAGCTATTTCTCGTCTAGCAGAGAGCATATTTTATTGAAATTGGCAGCGCATTGATCATTTATTTGTTAGATCCGCACCGTTTCCTAAGGATCCATGTTGAAGCTGACTGCCAATCAGATTGCGCGATCTTTTCTTTAGTGAAAGCAAATGCAAATGAGATGGACGCGAAACTGTAGCAGTTGCAGAAGGCAAGTTTAAAAGAATGGCAGACCCACATGACAAGATTTGATTACCGCTCATAGCTGACAAAGCGACAAGCATCACCTTGGCAGCTGCAGCCTTAGTAGGCTGAGCTGCACCTAGCTCCAACTAATGTTGGTAAGGGTTCTCTTCTCGGGAAACCCACGCACCATCGGTAACTGCTAAGAGCCCTCACGACTCTAATTTTGCGCGTATGGGGTCCAAGATTTTCGGCAAAAAGTTTACCCCACTAATTCCAAAAATGAAAAGAAAAAATTGTGATCACACGGAGTTTCTTGTGCATTGCGTCTTTTGCCTAAAAAAAGCTGAAAATACAGAATTTTCAACGAAATAGATGCAACAGTGTGAGAGCTTCCATGCTCAGTGACATGCACCATTAACTTTCACTCTGGTGCTTATCAAATGCAACGCACTATCACAGCGAGTATTTCGTATCAGCATCCATTGCTATCGTTAGAATTGTACATGGATGTGCTAATGCCTCTTACTTCAGAACACAAGAGACTATCGATACGAAATACGAGCTTACTTTCCCACGGGCCACTTGCTTCTCTTCCGCGGCTTGACGCGAGCCTTTTGCTTCCTGGCATATGCAACCCAAGCAATGATTTCCGGATGCTGCATAATCTTATCAAGCGTGTTGTACTCGCGCGCTAGCGTCTTGTTGTCCTCGACTGAGTGGATCTTGCTGTGGCATTGACGACAAATCATGATACAAGTGTTGAGGAACTCTTTCGTATACCCTTGGCGCAGATACTTTGAGTGTGTGACCCGCGGGATCACGTGGTGTGCTGTCAAGTTCATAGGTCGCTCACACATTTCGCACAAACCAGTCATATCTTCTGCGTCCTCACGGCCAGCGACGTCTTCATCCAGCACCACCTCATCCTCTCGAGCAATCTGCTTCTTGCCAAACTCAATAAACTCCACTTCTACCTCAATAGGTCGGTTGTCGCCTGCACTCTCGTCGTCATTCTCGCCAATGTGTTTCGTTATGCGAGCTGGATGCCACTCCTCATCCTCTTCGAGCACCACTAGGCAGCTCTTGCCAATACCGAACTGTGTTTTCAGTCGCTCTTTGCGCACTCGTCGCCTCTTAGCGGCATAGCTCTCCAGCTCCTCTTCACTGTCGTCATCTTCAGTGCCCAGCAGCAAATCACAAAGTTGCTCTGCAATTGTTGGTAATTGACCCGCGTCTAGAAACTCCGTTCCGTTCAGCACTTCAACGAAGGTAGAGACGACCTGGGCACGGTCTTGATTCGCCGTCTCCTCCTCTGCGGTGGCGACAAGGAGCTCTGCCGTGTACTCCAATTCCTCCACTGTTGCGCCACCTCCTGCGTATGTCTCTAGCACTGACACAAGTTGCTGGGACGTCTCCTCGGTTGTGGTGAGCATTGCGTGCTTCTTTAGTCGGTAATTTGACTAGTGAGACCGACTAAAAACTCAAACTTGCCTTTTTTTGGTGAGTGATGGTCATTTGAAAAAAAGCTGTGCACCACGCCACATTTGTGCCTAACACACGAAATAGAGTTTTCGAGACCGGGACGTGGCATAAATCACATCTGCTCTCCCCCAAAGGGATCATCTGCTCTTCCCCAAAGTGATCATGGCGACGACGCAAACCCCACGCGTATTCGGCGTTGACTTCGTACGTAACCTTATTCTCCATCGTGTTGCAATGTCATCAGTGGCAGTTGCACGCTCTAAATTGTTTTAGTTACTGACCAAATTCAAAATGCTTTACCCCGTCATTTCTGTTAGGGTGCCCAACGATGCGTTGTGGCTGAGAGCAACGGCGACGTGGTGCTCAATGAGCTCGGTGCTATGACTACCGCCACTCTTGTATCCTTCAAGGGAGAAGAGCGTCTCGTGGGCGAGTCGGCTGTGCTCTCGTCCAGTACGAACCCTCGCAACACTGTCAGCTTCCTATCTGGACTCGTAGGCAAGCACCAATTGGTGGACGTCCAACGCCAACTCGAGCGACTACCCGGCCATCAACCCACCTTTGAAGTGGACGATGCTGGCCGTGTAGTGGCTACCGTTGACTACGGCAAGGATGACAACAAGACGCAATTTACTGTAGAACAACTAACTGGTATGTTGTTCGCTAATCTGGCCACGCAGATGAAGAAGCGCTTCCAGGACGAGTCATTCCACGTGACACTGGCTGTGCCATCACTGTGGGGTGACGAAGAGAAACGCGCAGTTCATGTGGCTGCCAAGATCGCGGGTATTCCCAGCTTGGCCATCATCTCGCGCGACGCGGCACTGGCGCGCTGTTTCCACTGCAAGCATCCCGTGGCAACTTCTGCCGACGGAGATGTTGTTATGGAAGCGGAGACGGCTCGTCACATTGCCATTGTCGACATGGGCCACACTAGCACCAGTGTTGCGGTAGTGAAGCTTACTCCTAATGGCGAGACGCTATTAGCTACAGAGGCGGACGTGGATCTTGGCGCCGAGACGCTTGATCGTCGACTCTTTGAACATTTCCAAAAGGAGGTACAGACAAAACATCAGCTGAGTGTGTCACTCCACTCGAAGGAAGGCAAGCGTTTGTTCCAAGCGTGTGAGAAGCTCAAAAAGCTGCTGTCTACTATCGGAGAAGCCAGTGTAACCGTGGAGAATCTCGCTCCTGAGAAGGATATTAACATCTCCATCTCTCGCAATGTGTTCGAGGAGCTTTGCTCTGCTGAACGTGCGCGTGTGACTGAGTTGTTGCAGAAGGCTCTGGAGACATCCAAAGAGACTGTCTCCAGTGCTGACATCGCGTCTGTGGAGATCGTGGGCGGTGGCACTCGCATCCCGTTCGTGCAAGAGGCCATTATCGCCGCGTTCCCTGCTGAACAGCAACGTAACAATGCGCTTATCGGTCGTATGCTGGATTCTACTACTGCTATTGCTCTCGGTGCCGCGTATTCGACTGAAGCGGCAACAAAACCTGTAGAAACGGAAGACGATACGGTACAGTTGGCTCGCTACGTGGCTCTGGAGCAGGAACTTCAAGCGCGTGATGCCGAGTTGGCTGCTATTGCGCACGAGCGGAATGCTATTGAGGCTTTTGTGTACGAAATGCGCTCCAAGAGCAGTGGCAAACACGGAGATAAGCTGGATTCATCCAAGTTGAACCCACTTCTGGGCGCTGCTGAGGACTGGATCTATTCGGAAGAGTCCGAAAATGCGACACTGGACTTGATTCGTACAAAACATCAGTCGATTGAGACGGAGATTCGCTCTGCTTGTGAGGCTTATTTCTCGGCGGTTGAGGCTGATGAACGTGCACTGGAGCAACAGCTTGAACTGGAATCACAGAAGGCTGAGGCGGAGCGTCAGGCTGAAGGAGACGAAGACCACGATACGCGTAAACTTAAGAAACCCGAACGTATGCGTATGGTGGCCAAGAACAAAGAGGAGGGCAACGAACTCTTCCGTGACGGCAACCACAAACACGCTGCTGCTCGCTATGTGAAGGCTCTGACTCATGCGTCCAAGTTCTTCGATCTTACGGAGGCGGACAAGGAGGAGGTGAACGTCATTAAGCTCAGTTTGTACCTCAACCTTGCGCAATGCTACCTCAAGTTGGAGAATTACACTAAAACAGTGGCAAATTGCAACGAGGCGCTGGCTTTGGATGCCAAGAGCGTCAAGGCGCTCTATCGTCGCGCTGTGGCCTACGAGAAGGAGAACAAGCTGGAGCTAGCGGCTGACGACGTCAAGGCCGCGCTGGCCCTCGCACCTCAGGACCGCGCCGTCGTCAAGCTCGACGAGCGTCTTAAGTTGCGCCTCCGCCGCCAGCTCGACAAGGAAAAGAAAATGTGGACAAAGGCGTTTGCATAATCATCGACGGCAAATAGAGATAAGAATGAATGTGGATAAAATTGCAATCATTTTTTCCTAACAACATGGAATACACAGTGGCAAAACACAAAACTGCAGCTTTTTGCACAATTCGTTGCTGCTTTCACTCACAGCTTTTGGTCACAACACGCGCCCCATTCATTCAGGTCGTCACTGTCGCTTTGCGGCTGTGCTCTTCCTTGAGATCTTTCCAGTGGAAAAGCTAACGATTCGCACCGACTAACATCTTCAGCGCGCTTGTATCTTCATCCCTTCCGCTCAGAAGGGCAACCTGCCACTCATCTTACTGATTGTCTGGAGCTGTGCATCTGTTGATCCACTTGCGTCGTCGCACCATTGCTAATGTGAAGGGATCCTTCTGCCAGGGTCCGGCGAAGGACGGCGCGTAGATCCAGCCATTGTCGTCTCCCTGCGATACGTCGAGGGTCCATCCTTCAGCCGTGAGATGACTCGGCACCTTAGGCGCAATCTCCTCAAAGGCATTAGACGTGATATTAGCATCCGTGATGGAGCTCCAGCGTTTGCGTTCGGTAGAGCCAGATATGTGCGTGTCTGTGGTCCACTTCTTGACAATATGGTAACGCTGGTTCTCCCAGAGCTCTAACACTTGGTCCACTTGCTCGTTGGGAGTCACTTTGATCTCCAGGAAGAGCACAGACTTGCGCTTCTGCTTGTCGTAGTCAGGAGGCACCTCCAGCTCGTAAGACACGACTTCGGACTGCTTCTTCTCGAGGAATGGGGCCAGTGCAAGGTTGGCATTGCCAATGCAGTCATCTTTCATGAAGCGATCGTAGTCCATCACGTGCACTTCGAGGCATTTCTCCTTGGGGCGGTCTACTTGGAACTGGAACGTCTCGGCCGGTTCCCAGCGCGGGTTGAGGCTGCTCTGCACTACCGAGCTCTTCTGGCTCACGCGCCCCACTTTGAATACCACGTACGGGTCGCTCTTGCCGCCCATTCCCATGAAGCCAAAGTCACTGGCCGCAAGGTCGACTGCGCGTACCAGCGTCACCTGCAGCGTGTGCATGCCGCTCATCCTGTAGTCTACGGTCTATTCCGCTGTCTTCCAGATCCGGAGTGCGACTGACAGTGTGCGTTGTGGTGTGGTATGTTGCCTTCTCGTAAGAATGAAGTATACATGGGAGACGGATAATACTCACAAAGACAAGTGCAATTGGCGAGGAAAGGTTGCATTTGCAGCTCATTATTCGCTAAAAATAGGATGCGTAGGCTGTGACACGAGGCTAACCCAGGCAAATTATCCGGAATATGGCAAGCATATCAGTGTATACCGAAAAGAAAGAACTTCATGATCACGTTTGAGACGTTTGCTTCGAGTTTTTCCTTTGGCTGCATTTTGCGTACCCGTCGGTATTGCATCCGATATAGGAAAGGGTCCATTATTTTAGTAATAACACTGAAGAAGTCGCTACGAGCGCTGCAACCTGAATGCATGCAAGCCGATGGAATCAACATCGCTTTCGCCGTGCGTCTGATTTCCTGTCTCACAAGTGCGTGTCGACCGCACGTTAGCCACGGATAAATGACCAAGCGCGATTGCGGACGGGCACTGTGACAAAATTCCATCGCAAACGGCCTTTATCATAAAGTTTTTGAGGCAAAAGTGGACAGTCGCCGCTGTACCTGGATTCGCACTGCACACGTACAAGTTGAAACGCTGGATATTGCGCTGCATCCGCCAATGTGTTTTTCTAGAAGATCGTCGCCGTCTATCCACTGATCAAGTGCCGCATCAAGTTGCCTTTCATATGAGAGCAGGATGAAAACTTGTCAAAATCGTTTAAGTTGCTCGTCTTTCCGCGTATCCGTTCACGCAACATAGTTCCCTCTCTTTCATTTCTGACGTTGTTCACTTGTGAAAAGCTCCCGAAACGGCATCCGACACTTCATTCCCCCCTTTTTCCAGCTCTCGCAACGCAATGTACGCCGTGCACGTGACACTCGTCAAGGCTGTGGACCTTCCTTCCGCCGACTTCAATGGCAAGAGCGACCCGTACGTTGTTTTCCAGCTGGCCAACACGACGCACAAGAGCTCCATGATCCCTGCCAACCTCAATCCGGAATGGGACCCGGAAGAGACGTTCGCCTTCATCGCCGACGACCCCACCACCGCTGTACTAGAAGTGAACGTGTTCGACCACGACCGTATCTCCAAGGACGATAAGATCGGCTTCTGCCACGTGCCGCTCGCCTCTATCCTGGACAAACCCGAGTCTGAAGTGCTCATGTACGAACTCGAAGTGCCTGCTGGTTTTGCCAAGCAAAAGCGAAAGAGCGCCATTATGCTCGAGATCAAGCTCGAGAAGGAGGACTAGAAACCGACCAACAACAAAACAAGTTTTTTTTTACTGTTTGATGTCCAAATGTGGCAGTTAGTTGCGAACTTTCTAGCTCTGAGACTTTGCGTGGAAAAGTGCGCGTGCTAGTTGGTCACTTCTTGTCACTATGACAGCCACAAGCATCCGGGACAAGACGGCGTATTTCTCTCATTCTATTGAGTTTTTCCCACCGCTAGAAAGACGTCGTGGTCGCAAACCATCTCTCGTCCCGCGCGGCGGCTCCCAGGGCGCTTTCCGTCGATGGTTCGGTGCCTCCATCGGCTTGACGGCTGCCACGCACGTCGCTCCACTCACTTTTTTGGCAGCTTTCTTGCAATCTCCCCAGCCTCTTGGCAGCTCGACGGACGTGCTTCATTCCCCAATCCAACTGCAAACAAAGTGAAGTTCAAAGTTGCCGGGAGGATGAAAAAGGCAACCAAGGCCTTGAGCAACAAAGAAACCAAGCCAGAGTTTCCGAAATTTAGTGAACTTCTGCACGCAGCTTCGCATTCTTCCGAAGACCTCGACATCATCGACTCGTGGTCGTCAAGTTCGGACACGGACGAGCACGATGCGGAAGAGTCCAACACGGCAAAAATGTGCCGCTACTCGAGATGCTCGAACGCAGCACGTAGTCGTGGACTGTGTCCGGCACATGGAGGAGGAACACGTTGCCGTATCCAAGGCTGCGTGAAGCATGTTGTCTCTGGAGGTCTGTGTGTGGCTCACGGTGGCAGTCGTCGTTGCCGTGGCTCGCCTAGTTGCTCTAGTACTGCTGTGAGTCGAGGACTGTGTGTGCAACACGGTGGCGGACGCAAATGCAGTCACGAAGGTTGCAACAAGCACGTGGCTTCTGGTGGCTTGTGTCGAACTCATGGAGGAGGACGACGTTGCCAAGTGCAGGACTGTATGAGTAGTGCTCAAAGTCGAGGACTTTGCTACGTCCATGGCGGAGGAGGACGTTGCCAACGTGACGGATGTGGCTCTAGTGCCAAGAAAGGAGGCTTCTGTATCGCACACGGTGGAGGACATCGCTGTCAAGTGGACGGTTGTACCAGTAGTGCTGTGAGTGGCGCTCGATGTCGTGCACATGGTGGTGGACGTCGATGCGCAGTGGACGGTTGTGCGAGTAGTGCGAAAACTGGCGGTCGCTGTATTGCACATGGCGGTGGCAAACGTTGTACCGTGAGTGGATGTACCAGTAGTGCTCAGCGTCTTGGACTGTGCAAGGCTCATGGCGGTGGACGTCGATGTGTTGTTCAAGACTGTGCCAATAGTGCTGTGAGTCGTGGTCGCTGTATTGCTCATGGAGGAGGTAAGCGATGTGTCTTTGAAGGTTGCACGACTACGGCTCGTAAAGGAGGCTTCTGCTTTGCACACGGTGGGAGATCTACAACTAGCAAGAGTAAGATGACGTCTCCAGTCGCTGCCAAGGCTCGTACGTGGTCTGCAGCTCACTCTCCGATTCCAGACCTCAGCTTGCCTCCACGTAGACTACTGCCTCCGATTAACACAATGTTGATCGCTAATCGCCCCGGTATCCTTCGCCGTAGTACACCGATCCCACCAATCCGAGCGCCAATTATCTCGTTCCAGAAAGACGAAGCGAGTCGTGAAGCTTTGCCAGTGGCTAGTTGGCAACTGAGAGCTGCAGACCAGACGACGTATCAGCGCACACCGCAAACACCGACGTCGTCCACGCGTGCTGGTTACTCGTGGCAACGACTTCAAGAGACGATCCGTCGTGAATCTCGTGTCCACGGCCTCACAAATGAAGACGAGGAATCTGCATATGAAGACAAAGTCGCTTGCAAAGTGGACGACCACGAGGTGCAGGACAGTGATGGCGCCTTTTACCGGACTCGAAGCCGTGGCCCAATAGCCTAAACAAACGTTGAAGTGACGAATTTCATGTAGTGCGTAAATTTTAAGAAACAAAAAGCAAATAACAACAATTTGCTTTTTTATCTTCTACAAAAAGCAAGCAATTTAGGTAAAAAGCTGCTCCTGGATGAGTCCAGCGGCAAGTTCATCTTCAGACGGGTCGTCAGCCTGGCACAAGTCGTCAAGGCCTAGTCGACCGCCCTCGTCGAACTGGCGCAGCAAGAACTGCTTGCGCTCCGAGTCGTGGCTGCGATAGACCGAGACGTCTCCCTCGTCCAAAATCTCGTCCTGCAAAATTTCTTCCAGTACGTCCTCTAGCGTCACGATACCCAGCAACGTGTGCATATCTCCACTCTGGTATTTAACGCAATGATGGCACAGTCTTGTGAGTAGAAAGTCTAAGCGTACGCAGCTCCCCTCTTCACTTACCGCATCTGTTGTCTGGGGTTGTTTGACTAAAACTAAGTGCGCACTCTCCGATTTAAAGGTATCAAGAAGTGCGCTCAGTCTGCAGTCCGGGTTTACAGAACGCGTCGCTCGGCCGAAGATCTGGAAGAAGCTTGCGAGGAGAGTTTTATCCTAACGATAAAAAGCTTTAGTAATTAGTCTATAACAGCATTTGAAGTTATCTCTCACCTTTGGATCCACAAAGATGAGGTCTTTGACGTGGATAGTCCCCGTGATGTCGCTGACGGAAGTGCCATGAACGAGAATGCGCGAAAAACCGCTCGCGAGAATGTTGTGAATGAGTTCTCGATCCAGGACGGCAGATATCGGGGCCATGAAGAGTTGGTCCACAGGGGTCATGACACTCCGCACAGTCTTGTTTCCAAAGGTCATGGCACCCCGAATAATGCTGCTTTCGTCCTTGTCGATCATCTCTTGTTTCTCGTGGATGTCGATGATCTCAGCCAACTTGAGTGATGACTTTTTTGTTAGAAATACTCTCAAAAACTCAAACCAATTGTGTACCTGTCGTCTAGTGAAGACTGTGCCAATGTCTTCTCCCAACGTCGCGCCCAGAGCCAAACTCACAGGCTTCGCAAAAATGTAGAAGAGAGCAATCAAGATACGTACGAGCGGGACCACCTTGCCACCGATCACTGTAGCAAGCATTCGGTTAGTAATAGTACGAGCGTGAAGCTTCCATTGCCTTGCTACCTAGAGCATATCTGGAACAAAGGGCTTGCGGGACAATCTCCCCGAAGATTAAGATAAGGATTGTCGATGCAATGAACCCGAACAAGCCTGCACATGAAGAATGTCAATTATACACACAGTATTATAGCAAAAGCGCGGCCCTACCGCTCGTGAGGTCGGCGGTAATGATGGACGTAAGTACGTTCACGGAAACGTTGCCCAACAGTAGCGTCGTGAGCAGCAGGTTGCCGTTGCGACGCAGCGGAATGACCTTCTTGGCAGCCTCGCTATTTATGCGTTCCGTCTCGGTCGCGTGTTCATCCTCGCCCGCAGCCACGACGATCTCCAGGCCGATGAGGTCGAGGGACATGAGGCCAAGCCCCAAGCCAGCGAACATGGCTGAGAGCGCCAGCAGTACCACTAGAACACTCACCTGCAACGCGATGTCCTCGCTGATGAGCTCCGCCTTTTCCTCGCCTTCAAGTCCTCCGCCATTAGCCGCCACCGATTTCAATTGTACTGCTACGAGCAAGCCAAGGCCGCGGGTCTGTTGCCACTTCCTACTGTCTCCTAACATCTTCCCCTACTGACTTCAACTGCGAGTCAGAATGCTCTATGAATATTTTAAAAGATTTATATTTGAATCATTCAGTCGATAGAATTATTCTTCACCGTCAACATCTTCATCAAGCTCTTTGTCTAGCTGCGCCACTAGCTGCTCACATCGGTTTGCTCGCTCTGAGTCACTGTCATCGTCGCTATCTCCCACGTTATTACTACATGTAGAACGTTTGAAGACTTACTTGCCACATAATCCAACACTACCAACTAGTCTACATAAAACTTAAGCATCCTACCCTGATAACTCTTTTCCCTACGAGATCAACACACTGGAGCTTCTGCGAAGCAGCCTCTCTCCACGAGCACTCGCCAGCCAGGCTCCTACATCGGCAGCACTCGGACGTAACTTTGGGTTACGTGACACGCACGCTGCGATCAAGTGCGTGATAGGCAGCGGACAGTCCGCCGAGAGCTGGGGGCGAAGTCCGTCGTGGAGAATACGCCGCATCAAGCGCAGTGGATGTTGCACCAGTCGCTCGGAGAGAGAAGCGGGGTCGTGGTACGGCAACGTGCACGTGTCCAGCTCGCTGAGAAGGACACCCAGCGAGTAAATGTCCACTTTCTCCGTGTACTCCTCGCCCAGCAGCAACTCCGGCGCCGTCCACGACAACGTGCCCGCTGCTGCGGTCGCTGTGAGGTTCGTTTCGTCGTCGCTACCGCTGCATTTACGTCGACTGATGCCAAAGTCGCACAGTTTGGCGTCCAAAGAAGACGAGAGCAACACGTTGCGAGACTTGACATCCCGATGCAAGACCATGGGCGTCAACGCGTGCAAATAGGCCAACGCACTCGTCACCGCCTGAGCGATGGCCAGTTTCTGCTTGGTCCATGTGAAGTGGTTCGAAGGTACCGAGTGGATCAACCCGCCAGCAAACGAACCCGAGGACGTCGCTGCAACAGCCACAGCCTCGTCCACTTGCGGTAACATTCCAGTGACGGAGCTTGAGCGTCTTGCGATTGTGTTACCGGAGCTGACTGGAGCTGTTGACGACGAATTACGGACGCGTTGCTGCGCTAGGAAGTGCTGCAAGTCGCCTCCTTCCATGAACTCCTGCACCATGACCACGTGCTCCAGCATGTTCCACGCAATACCGTTGAGCGTCACAATGTGCGGGTGTTTCAACTGCGCCATGAGGTAGATCTCGGCCAGGAACATCTCCATCTCATGTAACAATCGTCGCTTTTCTGGCACCAATTGTTTCAGTGCCACCTGTTTGTTACTGTGCAGAGCCAGCCAGATCTCACCCGTCGCACCTCGAGACAGTGGCTTTACTAGTTGCAACTCGGCCATAGGGACCCGTAGACGACGGATCTTGCGGTGCGACTCGAACAGACGGAAGCTCCGAATGGCCATCTCGTTCTTCCGAGCTGTAGCGTCATCGGATGGTCTTTCCTTCTCCTTGTCTTGTACAGACGTGTCTGTATCGGTCTGTAGAGGATCCATGCGTGCAGTAGAAGCCAAAGGGTCGAAGGCAGACGCAGACAACCCGATCGTCGCGTCAAAGTGCTCGAACGCTGCAGCATTCTGGACGCCTTCGTCATAGCTCAAGGACGTCTGAGGGTCTCGGATCGATGGCCGAGACGTGTACGCGCTGTCGTCACTGTCTAGACTTGAAGACGACGAGTAGGACGAGGAGCGATCCTGTCGACTTGTCTCCGTAGTTTGAGGCCCTTTACCTTTACGTTTAGGCACGAGGAAGGCCTCCACGGCTCCGTTGTCAAATAAATGGCGGTTCTCACGCATAAACAAGTCGACTTCTCGTCGTGCTTCGTCACGTAAGGCTGACTTGTAGCGGTAGACTGCCACCGTACCAAATGTTAGGAAAGTGACGATACACAGAGGAACTAGCAGCCACGTCTGGTCCTGTTTGTGGTCTGCAGCGTATTTAATGAGCCACGCAGACGCCACGTCACCAGGTTGTGGCGTGCAGAACTTGGACTGGTTTACGAGATTGTACGGCGCGCAAGGGATCACCATTGCAGGGGTCAGTGGACACTGCGTGTAAGCCACTTCAAAGGCCGTGGTGTGCAGTGCGAAGATCAGATTGGGCTGCCCGTCCGGGTCCACGTAGGCGTGACGTTGCACTGTCACTTCTGGTTGAGTATCGGCCTCTCCGCCGTCTCCCCAGACTGCCGCATATGCAGGTGCCGAGATGTCTTCAGCTGCATCTACAGCGCATTGGACTGCTCTCGAGAGCTGCGAGGCCTTGCAGTCGAGTGACCGATGGAAGGTTGTCCCGTCTGGTAGTATGCACTCTCTCAGTTGGCAACCAGCGCGCTCGAAGGCCTTGGGAGGCACCACCAACTCTGCCATAGAGCGACCGCATCGTGTATAGACTTTGGCTAGCGTGTGTGTGGGCGTCAAGACGTAGCCAGCGTCCCAGAGGAAGGCTCGCTGTAGAAGACCAGGTAAGTCGCCCCATGAGAGCGAATTCGTACTGAGCTGCTGCTGTATAGAGCTGGGTAGAGCATCTCCACTGACATCCGAGAGCTGCGCGGTGTCGTCCAGCTCCGTGTTGAGAACGTAGTACTGTTGAGCGAAGTCGGAGTGCAGCCCTGTGAATTCGAAGTTCGTCTCTATGGGCACGTCAATGGAGGACGTGGGCTGAATTATTGCGGATGCCTGCAGCGCGAACAGTGCCGCTAGCAGCGACATCGCCGCACGCGGTACAAATTGTTCTGTCGTAAAGGAGAGGCGATTGGACGGAAATGACAGATTTGGGAAGCATTTGGACCTATCATTGGTGAAAATAAACTTACATTCGACGTCAACTTGTTTTTTGCTTCTTAAATTTACGTCTTAAAAATTCAAAACATTTTAAGACAAGTACTTTTAGATTTTCCTTTGCATCGTTCTCCACATCTCTATTTGAATACTTAGCACTACTGAGCTACTGAATGGAGCAATACGACCACGTCGACCGTCTGAGTTCACGTTGACGAGCGAGCATCGACTCCTGCGTGGCTACATCCAAGTGGTTGCGGCCTCTGGTGAATCGTCGAAGTCGGATCTCGTTATCCTCGCGCACCTTGTCCAGCTCATCGGGATTCTCCTTCAAATACTTCTGCAATTGCGCCAAAGCCTTCTCCGTCTCAGTCTGTCCTTGTGTCTCGTAATCCGTCTTGGAGATCAAGCTACTGTGACGACCAGGCTGCTCGAAATGGTACCAGAAGTACGCGATCGTTGCAATAATCTCGAACACACGCGTGAGCGACACCACAAGGATCAATAACAGCGAGGCTTCTGTCGACGATGTGCTGTAAAACAGCAACGTCATGCCCAGAATCGTCAAAGAGCGCGAGATAATAAGCTGGAAACTCGTCAGAGGAGGCAGTTCGTCGTCCAAGTAGCCAATCTCTTCGATCTCTTCTTCATCTTGTGGCTCAGTCTCCGATTTTGCCGACGCTCCCCACTGATACCACCACACCAAGACGCATCCAAAGAAAGCGAAGAAGGCGAAGTATATCTTGCCTAGATGAGGGATTCCGAACAGAACCTCACGGTTCCACAGATACACGAGGTACGAGATAGCCCACGCTCCGAGCCGATACAAGTTCGGCATGATCACGAAGCCCGTCACTGGAACTGCCACTGTAGCCACGGATGCTAGCGACGAGACCAGCTGCGCTCCTGGCAACATATTGGTCGTATTCCGAGCTTGACGCTGGAAGAGATAGACTGCAAGAAGCGCCGAGAACAACACACCCATTGTGGCACCCAGCAAGTAGTGGAAGGAGCGCGAACGCGAGAGCCATTCCGATAGATAAAAGAACAGCAGACCCAAGAAGAAATTCTGCGCATACACCCACGACAAATCTGCAGCACATACAATATTAATAAGCATATGACAACGTGATCGACTTGTCAGCAACGTACATGTGTAGAAGGTCAAGTCAAAGCTGAAGTTTGGAGTCGCTGTCGAGATGAACGGCTGCGGAGGACCCGTCACAGTGATGCAAGGAGCGTGGTACGGACTGAGTTCCAGCATGCATGTGTCTTCGTCTGCTACTTCTCTGCACTCGAGCGGACAGCCACCCACACAGTTCTCACATACCAGCTTGGCTGTATAATACATTTCAAACGTCAGTAAAAATGCGAATGTTAAATTTCACATTAAGGTCAGCAACGTACACGCAACGAAGAGGAAGTTTTCAACTGCGTTGACCACATAAGTGGGCACATATTGCTCAAGTCCCGGCGTTAGCAGCGCTGCCTTTAGGACACTGCGACATAGCAGTCCTGGAGTGCTGATATAGTGGATAACACACGGCAGTAAGAGCTTTTGTACAATTGAATCTCCATATAATAGCAGTAAAACCTACCGTGCGAACGTGTAGCTCAACTGGTTGACCTTGGGACTCTCCACGACGACACGCAGCTCGCTCCACGCCCAGAAAACTGGTCGGAGCGGCCAGGCGACGCTCTGTAAGTACCACAAGGTGGCGTTGGTCATGTTATACAGTGCGTTGGCCTCTCGCGACTGGCCCAGCGTTTGAATCAGCGCTGGTTGCAGTGTACTGCACCCCGTATACACCTCAGCTGTCAGTTCTGTGGCAGTTATGGCAATGTATCCGACCCATTTCACCTGTTCAACGGGTCCATGCGGATATGCAGCGTCGAATTATCGTAGAAGCAGAAGCTCTGTTGCTGTCCCCACTCGCGCACATCGCCCGAGCCCGTGACGCCCTCGTCCAGCCATCGAAAGCGTCTGCGGTCGGCCTCGGAGGCAACGTTCTCATCTGGTTGGAGCAATAAGTTGGATACCAAGGAAAAGAAAGTGGACAGAAGAAGACGTACGGCTTGGCTTGGAGTGGGGATCTGCGACCGCCTGAGAGCAGAGCAGCACCACCACTAGCAGCATCCAGGTGGAGTGCGCCATCGCGTTAACGTCACTTGTCTTTTCAAACGCTAATTCGCGAATCAGCGTTGGGGTTGATGGAGAGGATAGTGTGGGGTACACAATGCGAACTTTCCGGGAATAAGTTAAATATGATGTGGAAACAAACGGTAATTTACTCGAGCACGTGTAGTTTATTTTTCTTGGAAACGTGAATGCAGCAATTTCTATCGCCTTTGCTTCGACAGTGAATTAACTTTATTGCAGGGTCGTACATGTTTTCTCGGCTCACTCAACCTGAGGTTATCGTCGCATACATGCATCCAGAATGCCCCACCGACATTCAATTATGCCATGGATTCCATGGACTCCATCTCAGGCAGCGCACCTTCTACTGTAGTTACAATAGATCGCTCAAACATCTTAGCAAAAAGTACTGCAGCCTGTCAATGACAGTCTTCGTTATCAAAGTCGCCTATTAATACATCGCGTGTACTTCTGTATTGCTGACATCACTATGCAATAACAGGGAGCGAATCCGTAAAAGTCATTGCTTATATTGATAGATAGAGAGAAGCAGTGAACGATATCTCCGGATCAGATGCCAATGCTTAATCGTAGTCGAAGGTTTGGGTGCTGTGCTTGAGCTTCCTCTAGAGCGAGGCGATTGGCGGCAGCCTCAGAATTGTCGCTCTTGTCACTGCTTGCCGACGCGTAAGTCACGGTGCCGTAGCCATTGTTGCCTGACTTGACTTGAATGGACGAATGATCATTATCTGTTGCCTGAACACGTCCTCTTCCGTAACTATCGGTACTTGTCGTCGCAGCACCTCCATTAAGTGTTGCCACCGCTAGAAGCGTGGTCGCGCACCACCACCCGGCTCGCATTCTAATATCTCGTCACGTGAGGCTTCTCGTCTTCAAAGTTTGCCACCTGCTTGTCCTGTTGGTGCTGGGAGCGAAAATGAGTGCCGCTCACCTATTCGGTGGAAGGGCAGTCGTCTACGGAGCCGAAGATGTGATGGGAACCAAGTTGCATTGCAACCCACCAGGATTCAGTGAGGTCGGAATTGTACACTGGCTGCGTGGTGCAGAGATGCAGATAAGACCGCCAGCACCATTTGCTTGGCGCTCCGATACAGCGACGACACTTGAATTTTTAAATGCAAAGGCACGACTGATATGCACTCATGAGATGTCATAATCCTTTCACTGCGCATTCCATATCACCAAAATCATGTTCGTTGAAGCAATCTAATTTATGACCTATGATTTATCATAACCCATCTCGAAAGCATGTCTTATCCGAGGACTAGAAGACACTCTTGTGCTTCTTCTGCTCGTGTTCAATGCTCTCGAACTTAGCAGCGCGCGCAATAAATAGCACCATCTCGATGACCATCATAACGATGGCACCACCTAGTCCAGCGACAATTCTCTGCAATGCACCAACAAGAGCTAAGCATCCGCCAATACTATGCCGCAACACCTCAACACTTAAGCCTCAAGACTCACCGTCGTCTCGTTATCTGTGAGGTTCCGAGCCACAAAGTACACGGCAATGAAGGCCGTAACCCGGGCTATAACCATGTTAGCGCCAATTGAAAGATGCTGACGCACACTCGTATTGTGGTGCGTTAACTCCTTTGCCGCCGTCTGCGTCTTGACATTACGGACCATGCTGCCGTACCGCATCTCTTCGTCCAGACGCAGGAGCTTTTGGCGGCGCTTAGCCAGGTACTTGGCTCTCTTCTCTTTATCCTTCTCATTCCCCTCTTGCTCTGTAGCGACAACACGCGCTTGAACTCCTCGTCCTTGGCGTAGTAGCGAAACCAGAGTCGGCGTTGACGGGTCAGAGGCGCGTAACTTGCTTAACAGACTCGACACTTGCCGCAATTCACTCGTCGTTAGTATATTCTCCTTCTTGCTCAACATTTTCTTCACACCTGATCGGTTAAGCTGCTTAGCATCCAAGTGCGTTGCCAGAAACACGCGCAGAGCGCCAGCTCCTTCGCCATGGAGCTCCACACTGACAGGCATCTTGAACTAGCGTTAGTTCGTAACTGATAAGATCGAAGGCTTATCCGTAAATTTAAAACCCTTCTATTTGGACTATTGCTGACCTCTCCAATGACATATTGTGGCCATTTCGAGTATTACCGTCTCAGATGCTGCCGCGTCAGCCGCGTCCAGGGAGGCTTGATGCCTTGCTACACAGTCCACAGAGCTCTTCAATTGCTGTAATTAAGCATGCATATACCTGTGTGTTTCTTCTTTCAATTGCACTGCTTTTCGTCTCCAGCAACGCTGCACAAGCCGAGAGTCAAGCTCGAGACGCTGTCAGTAAACTCTCGCATTACAACGGGCTGCATACGCTCTCCGGGGCCAGTTATCGCGCCTTCAAGAACCGTCTGAAGCGGCAAATGCGTGGAGAAAAATGTCTACGCTATCACGTGGCTGGTACGTGGTGGCACTACGAGTGGTGCTTCGATCGCCACGTGCGGCAGTTCCATCCTCTCCCCAAGGGCGAAAATACGAAGGAGAATAGCATAATGCTGGGAGTATTTAACCCACAAAAACCTGAGCCATTGCGGGTCTTAGCCGTGGACAATCTGGCCAGACTCGCAGACCCAGACCGGATGGGTTATATGGCTCACCAGCGATACAACTCGGGCGATTTCTGCGAAGCACGAGAGGCTCGTCGCTCTGTGAAGCTCCAAGTTAAATGCTGTGCACTCCATGATAACGAGACTTACGTAGACTCAGTGGATGAAAAAGCGCCGTGTGATTACGAGATGAACGTGTGTTCGCCCGTGGCTTGTGGGCTGATGCAGAGAGACCAGTTTGTCCTTACAGCACCAACATCCATGGAAGAGGACGAACGCAAAGCACTGACTAAGACAGTGAGAGACATGTTCTATCACGCGTACAATGGTTACTTGACACACGCCTTCCCACAGGATGATCTACTGCCACTTTCGTGTAAAGGAGGGGAGTTTGAGCTCGGACGACTGCCGATGCTTACGCTGATCGATACATTGGATACCTTAGCGTTGCTGCAAGACGCGACGGAGTTCAGAAGAGCAGTAGGACTGGTGGTGGAGAACGCAGACTTTGATTTAGACACGGAGGTCTCTGTCTTTGAGACGACAATCCGAATGCTCGGAGGCCTGTTATCAGCTCATCTCTTCGCAGTGAATACACAGTTAAAGTTGTATCCAGACGGTGATTATGACGACGCTCTGCTGAGGCTTGCTGTGGATCTGGGCGACCGTCTGATGCCTGCGTTTGACACCGTTACGGGGATTCCATACGGCACTGTGAACTTGAAATATGGTGTACCCAAGGGAGAAACGCCAATTGCTTCGACTGCTGGTGCTGGATCGCTCTCAGTGGAGTTTACCATGTTGAGTGTACTGACTGGCGAGCCCAGATACGCTACTGCGTCACGAGGAGCGGTACGTGCGCTCTTCCAGCGTCGGTCGAAACTTGGATTGCTTGGGAAACATATCAACACGAAGACTGGCGAGTGGACAGAGACCTCGTCAGGTCCAGGATCCAATTCAGATAGCTTTTACGAGTATCTGATGAAGATGTACGAGCTGTTTGGCGACCGTGAGGCCTTGGAGATGTTCGCGCAAGTTTATCCGGCGGTGCTGGTTCATAACAAACATGGAGACTGGTACACCGATGTGTCCATGTATACAGGTTGCCATCATCACAGTGGGAGCTCAGCTATCATCTTTGAAAGCCTGGCCTCTTTCTGGCCAGGGATGCAAGTTGCTGCGGGGGATTTACAGGTTGCAGCGGAGTCAATGAACGCCTTTTATCGGGTATGGAGAGACTATGGATTTCTCTCGGAGCAGTTCAATGTTGGGGATTGGAAGCCTGTCAAGTCACGAGGTGGCGGTGGAGCGCGGTATCCTCTTCGTCCAGAGCTCATTGAGTCGACTTTTTACATGCACGAAGCCACCAACGACTCGTCCTGGTTGCGTGCTGGAGCTCACGTGGTTCATTCGCTGCAGAAATACACCAAGACGTCGTGTGGCTATGCGAGTATCGCTGATGTCGAGTCCAAGAAACAAGAAGACTTGATGCCTTCGTTCTTTCTCTCGGAGACGTGCAAGTATCTCTATCTGCTGTTCAACACCACCCATTTCTTCCGTCAAGGCAACTACGTGATGACCACAGAGGCACATCCACTACCGATCCTTCCGACGAAGCTCGTTGAGCCGATTTTACGAGCATCCGACGCTAGCAGTGACGTTTTAAACCACAATCGGTACTCACCGGACCGTGTTATGCAGTGCCGAGTACCCAAGTTTTACGATCTCGTCGACTATTCGATTCATTACGAAGGCAAAGTCGTGGCTCGTACCTCGCGTTGTGTGCCACCAGCGCCATCACCCGCTAAGCTACTGAAGGCGTCCAAGGCGGTGGCTGAGAAACTGGCAGCAGCATCTACCGAGACAAGTTCTCTGTCTGATATCGAGAAGATTGCAATGGCTGCTTCAGATAACGCCAAACCAACGACAACTAAAGAGAAGAAGTCAGATACTGGCAGTGTAACGTCGGATGTGCTTCAGGAATGGCTCCCATCGTTGCAGAAGAAGCTCCAAACAATCGGTGGCAAGAATTTCGACAACATGTGGCTTGAGAAGCTGCTGGAAGAGAGCTCTGCCACATCGAAAAAGCAGCCAGTGAGTGAACAAGGGGGGCAAGCTGTGCAGTATTTGTATGGTGGCAACCAGCTCGGTGAGTTCCGCGTTGAGCAACTTCCTGGCAGCGTGCGTGTAACTCGAGAAGAAACCGGTGACTGGATCGAAGCATCGGGAGTCCATGACGCTAACCACATGATTGTCGGCTTGGGATTTAACGATGGCTCGGACGGAGACGCTGGAGCTGATTCGTACACTTTCGATGAACCAAAAAGTGACAAGATACATGTAGAGCAAGGAGACGATTACCAGCCTCCGTTTATGGCGTGGAACTACGTGTACAAGGTGAACGAGGACTTGACGTTACCCATGGATCAGCGCTGTTCACTTCGTGTTCAAGTTGGCTACACACCGTATCCTGGCGAGCTGCAACACAATCCACACGAGGCTAAGGGCAAACCGAACGTGTGGCTCACTGTACCTTGTGTAGGTGCTGGTTTCGGTGTCACAAGTACATTCAAGGCATCTCGTGCGTTCCCTCATAGCGAACTGGTTCTGGCTGACCCTTTCGATGCCTGTAGCGACGTGTCGAACTTAACTGAAGAACATGTCCGAGGGAAGATTGTACTCGTCGTGCGAGGCGAATGTTTCTTCGAAAAGAAAGCACGGAATGCGGCACACTGGGGCGCTGCAGGTGTCATCGTTGTGAACACAGAAGATGACGATCTCGTGATGGTTATGGGAGGGCTGGAAGAGAACAGTGAGGAAGCTATCGATGAGCCATTGGATATACCTGTCGTGATGGTACCTCAGCGTCTTGGTGAGTGGTTGGAGACTCGCTTGGCTAAAACAGAGGCATCGTCCTTGTCTCCTGTCAAGGTTAGCATCGAGTTGACTATACGACACCACGATGGCAATACCGACATGACTCGAAGAAGACCACGAGGAATCCACGGAGACGGATCGTTCCCTCGAGTGGATGGCAGAGCTAACAACATGAAGATCTACGGTCCATTGTGGGGAATCGAGCTCATCACGATAAGCTCAAGCAAGGAGAAGACTCAAGAACAAGAAGAGTATCAGCAAGAGAGCTTCACTATCGCCGTCATCGGTACTCCACCTTGGCAACATTAGAGAAAGGTGAAGACAAAACTCCATAGAATAGAGCAAGTAATTCACGAAAAAAAAAATGTTTGGCGTTGTCTCGTGTGCTTGATCTCTCTCGTCCAGTACAACAACAACGCAACTTTCTGTCAATCTGCATCCAGTCTCCTTTCTCTTCATTCCTTCCGACACATTTTTCGTCAGCATCTAGGACAGTAGTTTTTTCCGCTTACCTTGGTTCTCCTTGCCGCGTTGCACAGCTGTAATACGGTCGCCTAAGCTGAGTGCAATCCCCTGAGTCTTACTGCGAATACGGATGTAACCAGCGATGCGACCATTGTCCTGCTTCTCCACACTGAGATTGACAAGCGCGTCCTCTCCGAATACACTCTTGGCGTACAGATTAGCAGCCAAGAAGTTCGTGTCGCCACCCAACGAAGCCGTCGGCGTCATGCACCGCATGTTGGTCTTGTCTACCACATGCTGCAGGAACTCGAACACGTTGGACAGCTCGGTGTGCACCGCCACCTTGTTCTCCCACTCGAACTCGGCCCACATCGCACGGAAAGCTGCGTCAGTGCATGTGGCTGGCTTGATGTAGTCCATGATATCCAGATGGATGTCGTTCAGGTTCACGTACGTCTTCTCAGCTCCTGAAGCCGAGTCATACACAATCGTACCAAAGATGTGGCCTGTCTCAGTGGAGCTCACCTTGATGTTGGCACGGATCGTACGCTGGTCAAGCGGCCCGATGGTTTGCGGCTGAGGGCGCTCCACGAGCTTGAGGTCACCAATAGTAGACAGATCCACCGTCAGGTTTGTGAGTGTCTGAGGAATGCGGTTCACCACCAGAATCTCCAGCACAATATCGTAGTCATGCACCGTCACGTAGGCCTCGGCGTACACAGGGTCAGCGAACCCAGTCAACTGGTGCACGTGACGCATCGCACCCGCATACTCGTTGTCAGAGCCGTCTCCTTGTTGCCCCAGAGCACGGTTAATATCTGCGCCATCGTCGATGTCAATGTCCGTCGAACCTAAAGCCTTCTTGCCACGCAACTGTCGGAAGTTAATCAGATCGTCCGCTTGAGTCACCGGTTCACCGTCGGCACCTCCAGCCGCAGCACGTGCAGCTTCAGCCTCTTGAGCTTTTTGCGTATCAAGGAGATGACGATAAGCAGTACGACACTCCTCTGTGATAATCGCGTGTGTAGCCTGTGCACTCGCAGGGTCCAGAAGAACACGTACACCCATCAGAATGCGACGTGCAGAGTCCTGATCGATCTCGTGCTTGCTCGCCTTCGACTGTCCGTACGCCACAATAGCACACATGCAGCGTGTAGAGTCCACCACCAGCTTCTTGATCGCAGCATTACGAGCTGTCGCACTAGCAACGTCACCGTTCGATACACGGAGACACAACTTGGTCAACGTGGACGCCACAGCTGCACCGAGGAAGAAGTCGCCGTTCAGCAATAGACGTCGCAAGCCAGGCACATCCTCCTCTTCAGCAGCAGTCTTCGTACTAGGAGCAGCATAAGACGTCTCCGTGGCGTATGTGCCATCAGCCAACACAACGCTCTTCGTAACCGGCTTCGAGTAGGCCGCACCCGTAGCTGCGTTGTCTGCCTCCGGGTTCTCCGTAGGTGCCTGCAGCATCGCCTCCGTGGCCAATGGCAAGCTACCAATAGCAGTGAAAATTGTACTGGCCGCCTCGAAGATCGACGTGTCGCTTTCCGTCCCGTCCTGAGGCGGCAGAGTAGCGTACTCTCCCAGAATCCAAAGACCGACACGATACACCTTTGCCAGCGAGATATCTGTGAACGAGATCATCAATTTCTGCAGGATACTCTCACGTAATTCCGGATAACTCTCGCACATCGCACGTACAAAGAGAATGACATCCATCGCGCCATCTGGCTGGTTCAAAAATTCCATCAACAAGTGCACCACTGCATTGGCAACTTCAGGGAACTTGACAGCACAGGCGTGGATGGCTTTGATCAGCAAATGACGGTACTCTCCAGCCTTTTCGCGCGATTTGTCCTGTGTCTTGACCACTTCACGCTTCAAATGAGTCACCACTTCGTCGATATTACGTACTGACACGAGATCCATGGCGATCTCCAATACTTTCTTGCAGATATCGAGATTCGGAGAACTGAGCGCACGCATGATGTCCATGAGGATCTCCTGCAACACCTTCGTATGGTGTTTCTTGAGGTCAGCGAGGCGATCCAGCACAATTAGCTTGACGTTGTTGTCGCTCTGAGAGTTCAGCAGGCCACAGTACGTCTTGGCTGCTGCACGCACTGCAGTTGGAGCAGCGGACAGCGTGACGAGCGTCCAAGCTGCTTCGTAGCTCACAGCAGGGGACGACGAGTTCAACAGCTGGAAGACACAGCGCACGAAGCGAGCTTTCTGTGCGGGATCCTGTCGACACACTTTACGTGTCATCTCGAGGATCACGAGCGAGAAACCGTCCCCGAACTTAGGGACCTGATCCATGGCGTTCATCAGAAAGGTCACGGCGCGGTCTTGTGCGCAGTCGTTGAGCATGAGGAAGGCGTTGCGTCTGGCGCCCGCGTCGCTCTCGTTGAGGATGAAGCGCTCGATTAGTTCGGGAGCGTCGGGGATCAACACGTCCCCGAACGTCTTGTACATGGTGTAGACCGTCATGACGGCGTTCTTGCGCACATATGAGTGACGGTGCTCCAGATTGCTCTTCACTGCGTCTTTAAGAGGCTCCAGGATGTCTTTTTCTTTGATTTTGCATAGGAAACGAAGCATACAACCGCGAATGTATTCGTTCGGGTGGTTCAAGTCGTTCAGCAGCGCGTTGCACACCAGGATCATCTCTGGGAGCAGTTTGGGAGGAGCTTTAGACGTATCGCCCGGCTGCTGCTGCTCGTACTTCGGAGCGATCTCCCAGTACACCATGAGCAGCTTCTTGAGAGTGTGGTCGCTCTGGGTGGAGCAGAAGCGGATAATGTGCATCAACACCTTGGGCAGTCTTTCGCCTTGTAGTAGCGCGAGGATGGCGCTCTTGACGGCGCGGATCTTAAGCTCCACCTTGGGCGACTCGAGGCCCTTGAGGATTTCATCCTGCGACGGAGGAAGCGCCTTCTCGCCCGTCACCTGCTGCAGCAGCACTGTGCAGTAGCGCTCATTCGTCACGCCCGCCATGGTCGGATCCTTCCACGCGGTCTATGTGAGGGGGAGTCGACGCGGCAGCAAAGTGTCGACAGTTGATTGGTTCAAAAGTGTAAATTGAAGTGGCCATATCTGCCAATGGTATCAATTCCGCATTGGATGCACACTCATCATGCTGCCGCGCGTGGGCGTCGTGTACACGAGGGAGAGCGCGTTGTCTCGCGAGAACTCGCAGCTGGCGCAGTATGTGGCGCTTTGTCTGGCCGCAAGTGGTCGGTGTGCGAAGATATGGCTTGTAGGACTCAATAATGATGGCAAGGAAGTCGACAAGAGCGAGAACAAGAGTGGAGCTGTTGCTCTACGCTGTGACGGCGCCGTGCTGGACAGCACTAAGCTGTCGACGGATATTTACGAGGAGACAGGGAGCTGTAAGAAGCTAGGCGAGTGCGATTTATGGCTGTTGATGGTCGAGGCGGATGCTACACTGAAAGTCACCGATCTACTCGTCAAGACACTGGGAAAGACCGACGACAAGCAGCACAAGCGCGTGGTGCTCAGCTTACAAACAACGATGCGCCGTCTTGCACAGCTCAACTCAGCGTACGCTAAGATGCATGGCATGGAGAAGCGATCGAGGGGGCTAATTGGGCGATATTATGCTCTGTAGACTGCCGGAGGCTATTGTGTTGCATGGAGGAGCAGCTTTCCAGGTGGTGAAAGACGACAAGGGAATGCTACGACCTTTATCCAATGGGTGTTTCTTCGTAGAACGGCTTTCGTGAGTAGATTTCTTACAGCGAAGGGTTAAATACCGTACTGACCATATGTGACTGTAGGAAGGACAAGACGTCGGCGCTGTACGCTCTGGACGTGCTGGAAGGAACGGGGATCCAAGTGCTCAGTCGTCACAACATTCAAGGTGCAAGGATGGATACATCATCACTTGCTGCTTAATACTTACACTAAGTGATTGTTACAGCGATGAAGTGGGGATGCACAATGCTACGCAGTTTCTACTACATCAACGCGCTGACAGGACAGAGCGTATTGGATGGATTACGGGATAGAAATACACGGTTTCTTTTCCTACAGGCGCTGGTGGAGATGGAGGAGTTGTTTCGAGCGGTGCTGGCAAGTGTTGCTGCTGCCAATAAGAAGTCAGGTCGTGCAAGTGGAGACTCAAGGCCGGACACAAGCGCCGCCACACTGTTCCCTGTGCAGTCACTGATGGTGCTGCTTCTGCTCCCCGATTGGATTTTCAACACCTTCGTTCTCCGAGTGCTCGATCTTGGTCTGGGAGCTCCGTCCAACAGAGACACGTCAGTTATCATGGTACGCCGCTGCTGTCCACGCTGGTCTAATATCATTTCTAACTTGGTTGTCGTCTTGCAGTCGGATTTAATGGCCAGCCCACCACTGAAGACCAACTTTGAAGCTGAATTCCGGGACATTTTCGAGTTGGCGACAGGGCGCAACATGCCATTACCGGCTTTGAAGATGGTGCAGAAGACACTCTTGTCTGTTAGAAAGCAGCAGCTTCAGGAGCACAAGGATGGCGTCACCTCCAGAACCCCAGTGCGGATTGGTAGTGGTGTGCTGCTCGCAGACCTGAAACTGTCTCCGCACTGTACTGCCGCGTCGCGTACCTTTTTCCTGAAAGGATTCGCTACGTTCGTGCTCACGTTGCTTTTGGGACTCTACCTCTTTGTCTGGTGAGGTGAATGGGCCACGATAGTGCTTGGGTTCTTGGATTCACCAACTCGTTTGACTATCTTCGTGCTTTTTTCGAGCTTGTTTTGCTTTTGTTCTGGCCGTCTCTTGTTGTTTTTGATCTTCGGCGTATTTGAGAACTGCTAATCTGTATACGAGCATTTGTGTGTGAGCTTGTGAGAAAGGTATGAACGCCAAGATGCGCGTTATTGCCGAAGTTGGCGGCAATTTTCCTTTATGAAACGCCATGTACTTCACAACTACGTCCACATGTTGCCGACGTGCCGTTACTCCAGCCCAGAACTGGTCTCCGAGCGCACAACCGCGCACGTTTTGCTGAAGCTGCATCAAAGGGTAAAAGGCTACCTGAAATTCAGTTGATCCTTTCATCAGGTCGTCAAGATCCACAAGTGCGGTGTTTTCATCATCGTCAGCAATCGGAATTTGGTCCGACGAGTTCTGAGCGTTGAGATTCTTCCGATCGCGTGCTGTAATTTTATCACGAGCTGTACTCACGTTTTTGGCGAAGTAGAAGCTGCTGTCGTTCTTTAGACCTTCGCAAAAAGCTCGAAGTTCACGACAGTCCATGAGTCCAGACTCATCGACGTCAAATTGTTTAAAGGCGTAATGGAGCAGTTCGCTCTTGGACCACGTTGCGATATTTGCAACGCAAATGACGAAGTCATCGAAGCGCAAGCTCTTGATGTCGTGGGCGAGACCGACTGCGTCGAACAAACCTTTGGTGAGCTGACGGGGTTGCTCATGCAGCATTGTGAAGAATTCCCCAATGGTGATTTCTCCAGTGCCAAGCTGTTCTTCACGCTTGAATGCGCGATGCAGTGCCATCACTTGGCGTTGTTGAAGCCCAAACGACATACAAAGCTTCTCAGCACGCTTCGTCTCCAGTAGCGTGTCGTAATGTCCACTCGCGAGTCCGTCTTTGACTGTATTCGAGTCCGCGGATGCGTTTTCGGTAGCCACTGTGGAAGAGGACTTCGGCTTTACCTGAATTCTTTGTGGCTGGGCCTTTGACGGTGAATCGCTATGGAGCTCAACGTCGCCAACTTCGTGAACTTCCTTGGCTGCCTTTGATATTGGAGTCTTCCGCTTTTTGGAATCACCTTTCTTCGTTGTCGTTTTCTTTGTTGGAGACCCGGTTCCATGCGTTTCGCTTTCTTTTGATGATTTGGTTTTGATACTCTTGGGCATCTCTCCACAAGCTATGTCTGCGGATATGGCCAGCTTCGACGGGTTACTGGATCTACTGTAAGCTCACTGTTCAAAATGTAGAGAGCGAAAGCTCTTTCTTCAGGAATTCGATGCCAACATACTTGCCAAATATCGTGGCATACCTATTTTTATTGCGATTGACAAATTACCCAAAGCCTTGCACGGTTCTTTGACCCCTGACGTTAAAAAAGAAGCGTTTTGGAGCGGATAAATACTGAAGAACTAAGATGCACACACAAATTATGGACACCTGAAGCGTGAAATAGCTGATGCATCGTAGCATTTTCACGTTGTAACAGTACATTATCGTTAATTTCTTGGATACATATCGTCAAAATACGAGGAGGTGCCACATTATGTGGTCTATTTTGCCTTGTGTGTGTACTGCTGGCAAGTTTCCGAGAGAAATAAAGTTACGGAGGTCACCATGTAGAGCCGACACCAGGGGAACATTCTACCATCATGTTCGTAATTCAAGTGGCCATGGATACGTGTGGGGATTTCCACAACACTATTCGCCGCATTCTTGTCAAGTTTTACAACGTACGAGTTCACGAAGGCCTTGTCGCGGTAATTTCTCGAAGGTATCAGGCTGTTAAATCTACGGCTTCGATTTTTTTCTGGGATTCCCGTTAGCTCTTGTCTGCTTCAGCGCGAGCATGTGCTTGCTCTTGCCATATTCGTTCCTCTTCCGCATACTTGAGGATGGCCAATTTGTGCACTGCCAGTTCAGCATTAGCTTGCGACGACGGCAGCAAATACGCTAATATTCTCTTAAAAATCGACAAGGAAGGTAGCTCTCCCTTGTGCATCCGCATGTAGTGTACAATAACTTCAACTTCTTGTCGTCGTTGCGCAACTTTTGCCCAAAATCGCTCGCCAGGTGCACAAGAGCGAACACTTTGTTGCAACTGCAACAACGGGTAAAACGCCACTTGGAACTCGGATGATCCTTTGGCTAAATCTTGCAGATCCACAACTGTATTGGCCTCGATATCCTCATCAGTTAAAAAATTTCCATTTTTCTCTTGGAAGTATTGGTAGCGGTTATTCCGATCTCGTATGACCAGTTTCTCTCGAGCTTTGTTGACGTTATTCTCAAAGTAGAAGCTGCTGTCGTTCTTTAGTCCTTCGCAGAAAGCACGGAGCTCTCGTCCGTCCATGACTCCAGATTCATCGACGTCGAATTGCTTGAAAGCGTAGTGCAATAGCTCACTCTTGGACCATGTAGCGACGGTGGCAATACAGATGACGAAGTCGTCGAAGTGGATTCTTCGAAGATTTCGGACCAAACCGACGGCTTCGAAAAGTCCCTTTGTGAGCTGTCGTGGTTGTTCGTGCAACATGGAGAAAAACTCGTTCGTTGTGATATCGCCAGTCCCAAGTTCTTCTTCATGATCGAAAAATCGACGCATCGCCTCGAGATTTCGCTTTTGAAGTCCCAAGGAAAGACAGAGTTTTTCAGCTTGTTTTGTCTCGAGTAAGAGACCAAAGTTCCCACCGGCTAACGACCCCGTTTCGTCCACTTCAGGAGTTGCTATAGGTGGGCTGTCAGCAACAACAACGGTTGATCTTCCACTGTCGAGAAGAGAGCTGAAGGTCTTCTGCTTGGCCTGAACTTTTCGTTGAGGTATCTTGGGCTGTTGACCTTCTTCATCGTTATTTTTTGGTGACTTCCGCTTGTTAGACTTCTTGTTGTTTCCATCTTTGGAGGAGGAGCGACTCGTGTTGCCATTCTCTGAAGTTTTCTTCTTTTTCTTCTTTCGAGTTGTAGTTGAGGCTGTGTCACTCTCTTTAGAGCCTTTTAAGCTGTCAGGTGACTGCGCGGTCTTACTACTCGCAGTCTCTGGCTGTTCATAGTCACGGACTTTAGCAGGTTTAGCCCCAGTCATGAAGGTTCGACTTTAGACAGGTAGGATGTGGCTAAATATTGCAGATACGTCATCTATTGGTGATGACAGCTTTCCTAAAAATATTTACGAAAGGTGAACTGACACATTCATCCCAGCACCTTATCATTACTCAACTTCATAAGCTTAAGGGGTGATTTACGCTCTCCACGATGAGTGCCAAGCGCATCTCGTGGGTTAAAATCCAGCGTCGATCACTGAAGCCAACGAAGATTGCGGTAAGTGCCACACATGCTCAGGCACCTCCACGTAGAGTGACTCTGGTCTCCACGCTCTACGGCCGCTTACTTGAAACCACAGAGGCCGAGCAACTCTGCAGACGACTAGGAATGACGCGAGACGACATTCGTCAACTACGTCGAAAGTTCGACGACGAGGATGGCTCACACAGTGACACGGTAACAATTCGAGGCTTTTTCCACTTGATTAACGACGATAAAGCGTTCGAGCGGTCTCAAATCCTGACTAAAGAACTCCTTCGAATTGCCAACGTCGCGCCTTCGACCGGTCGAGTGACATTCGATCAGTTTTTACGCATCGTATGCACGTTTGCTGCGTTTTCCGAGACGGAACTCTGGCGGTTCTTTTACGAATCCTTTTTCGCTGGTGGAGTAGCTACTGTAAACGCTCGTCGACTTGGAGAAGTGTTGCAAGCAGCTGGAAACTCTTACGCTCACAACATCGAAGTTGCTGCTCGCCATCTCCCTACAAACGCATTTTCACCATTAACTGGGATGCCATCGTCTCTCACTTTTGACGACTTTGAGGAACTTGTGCGTCGGAACCCCATTGTTTTCTTCCCACTCGTCCAGCTGCAACGCAATGTGCGCACTCGAAGTCTGGGTGAGAAGTATTGGGTGAGGAAGGTACGAGAGCAAGTGCTCATAAAGCCTCTTTTCGCGTACCAGCAACTTAACCAGGGAAAGTTACCGAAAATGAAAGTGAAAGATCGGGCAATGAATATTCTGTTTGGTGGGAAAACTGTTATGGCACATGCCAGGACATTGGCACGGCGGCAATACCTTGATGAGTTTAAACGTTGATATACCGACACATTTGCGAAAGTGAAACAGCTCACTGGAGAAATTCTTCACAATACTTCACGAGCGGGATTGCAGTAGACGACGCTTGTCGCTAACGAGTTCCTTGACCTTGAGCTCATAGTCTGTGATACGAGACCAGCGACTCATCGAGCGTGGAAGCATGCAGATAATCATGCTACTAGGAAATGTCTTTCAAGTTTTAGCTCGTCATACGGAGCGAAAGCTGAAAGGTGCCCTCGAGCTGCTTGATAACCATCGAAACGCTTGCTTAAGAGTAGAACTGTTTGCCTTTGCAGCTGCAGACTCATTTTACTGAGTTCACGCTCATCCAGAGCTCTGGATTTGTCGTCATCGTACAGGTTTGAAAACGAACTGATCGAGTTTACGTTTCGTTTTTACCGCGAAGCTCACAAGGCAGAGTAGATAGTGGTCAAAAGTGTTTCACTTTTGCGCCTCTGGAACGTCAAGGGTTAATGGCCTTCGCTTATCTTTTATCATGATCTCACCGCTGCACCATTGGCCATGGAGTAACAAGGATAAGACTTTAAACGAGCGTACGAATGAAACATGTTGGGGTCATACTTGCGCTTCATTTTACGGATATTTTCAATTGTGAGCTCAAGCCTCGAGCACAATTTTTTAACTTCGAAGAGTTCCTCGGCCAAACTTGAGCTTGAAAGCAGTTTAGTAGCCTTGTCTCACTAAATCCTAAAGCTGACAAATGACGGGAAGTCAAGCTAGTGGTGTGCTCTTGCCAGTTTAGTAGACCCTTTCGACTTGATCTAACTATGTATTAACTCACAAGAAAAGTCCGGCACGCTACGTCGCAGATCTAAAGAAATCGTTTGCTGTGATTAACCCCTTTTGAAATATAGGCTAAGCCGGTTAAACTGACCATTTCTGTCTTATACCCATGCTGTTGATGACCAGTCTTCGGTTTTGCTGATCATTAAAGAGGTTATTAATAACAGCCTTGCACACGATTATGGCATGGTCTTGTCAGTAATTTCTTATGAAATCATAAATATATTTATTTCGTCGACATCACGAACGCATTAAATAATTTATTTGTAGAAAATCCCCTTTATCATAATTTATGAATAAAACTCTTCATCATTATGCTATTCATGGCAAGTGTTAGAATGCACTTTAATTGGTCAAATATGTAACCAATAGAAAATGTTCAATCATCCTACTTCTTAAGGAAACTTAATAGGTAAACACATTGCCGAGGGATGTTAATGGCGAGGAGGACGCGTGGCCGTGCCCGCTTTAAAAGACCTCCTCACTTTTAAACTGACGGCCTGTTACATAGAGCATAATATTTCAAATACGTACTGAGACTAAGGCCCATGAATAAAGGACACATTAGGAGTGCTCAGGTCCTGGGACTGGAAAAGTTCCATGGGGAGGACTACACCATGTGGCGAGACAAGGTGCTAACGCACATAGAGACGCTGGATGAGAAATACTAGCGAGGATTGTTGGAAAAGGACCAGCCTGAGGCTACGGCTGTCATGATGGACTGCCTTGAGGTACGCCTGAAAAACCCGTCATTTCAGTGGAGGGAAATATTTCTTAAGAGGAGGCGAAGGCCAAGCATTGGCGCCACCAACACTGAACTAGGGCTCGGTCCGAGCTGTTGAACTTATTCAACCAAGCGTTGCCTAACGTTTTATTGAGTGGGCTGCCGGATCAGGTGTCCAGAGTGAACCCCTGTGACATATGGAAGGAGCTCGAGCAAAAGTACGGACTCGGGGATGCAGGAGGCGTAATCGAGCTGCGCCGCCAGTGAGAGCGTCTTCTCGCAGCGAAATGGACCAATCTGGGGGCCCTATTCGCCCAGTTAAAGAAGCGGCGTAACAACATTAACAGGAAGATGAGGGGTCTGGTTGGCAAGGATATGGTGACCGAGACCTGGCTGTGCATGAAAGTGTTGGCGCTACTACCTAGCGAGTTTTGGGGAGGCACAATCATCATGGCTGAAGAGTGGTTTTCTATTGAAAACGTGGAGACAAGTCTTCGCCGCGTTTTCGGTGATCGCTCGAAGAAGGAAGCCACGATGCTGACTGATAAGAGACGCCCAGTGACTGTCAATGCGGCAAGAAAGTTTACGGGGAAGAAAAGGAGCCAAGTACAATCCTCTGAAGCGGCAGTAAGCGAGTGTTATTACTGCTTTGAAGATGGTCACTGGAAGAAGACCTGCCCAGTGATGGCGGCTGACCGCAACCCGAAAAGGGCTGGAGGCAAGCTGCTTCGCATAAATATACGAGCGGCTCCTGTCACCGAAACGAAGCGAGCGATGACGGTCAAGAAGGGGGGGGCAGTCAACTACCAAGAGGGGAAGGTGAACCAAGACGAAGAAAGGACCCCAGCTCAAGCTGCCAACTTCGACCTCAATTTGAACAATGCAATTAAGGATGCCGACGAACTTGAGTACAAGGGGAGTGTTCCAGTGAGTGAAGAAAGCGAAGATGAGGCACCGATGCACTCAATGGAGATTGATGATGAGGTACGGAGGAGATACCCTGAGTATCTTACTAAATGAGGGAGTTGAACCTGACCGATTGTCTATGGGTGGTTGATACAGGAGATGGACACGCTATAAGTTCGGATAGAAGGTGGTTCATCCAGCTTGGCAGAGGACGGACTCATATCTTTAAATATGGAAACGGAGGCACCTCGTCAACCAAGCTCCAAGAAACAGTGAGATTTAGTATTCTCGAACCCAGAGGGTACTATAGTGATATCTCAATACAAAATGTTGCCCTTGATAAAGAGTGCGGTAGTAACTTGCTTAGTGCATATTATCTTGCCACACAAGGGTATCACCACATTCAGTCAAAAGGTGGGCAGTATTTGTACCTCCTTGATCGTAAAAACCGATTCATATTTGCTGCAGTTGCATCAGATGAGGTATACTATTTACCGAGTAGGAAGCTGGATAATAATTCAAGAGTACTATCCGTCGATAGTACTTCTCGATCGAAGATCCAAAAGACGTTGAAGAAGTGACACCTGAGGCTAGGTCTTGTCGGTAAAGGCAGACTTCTGACTGGCAGAATAATCAGAGATGCACCCCAGTTATCTAGAAAGAAAATGGAGCTGGTATCATTTTTCTGTCGTACATGTGTGCTGGCAAAACCACGGCGAATGTCTTATAGGAATATGGTGACAGATAAGGTATCTGAGCCTTTGCACACATTGCATATGGACTCATTGGGAAAATAAGACCACAGGACCTCAATGATACTACCGTGCACAAGTATACTCTAGCAATAGTGGATGATGCCACTGCTTATAAATGGTATTTCGTTCTGACGTCTCTGAAAGAGGTTGGGACTATTGTTAAAACCCTTATTAAGCAGCTGGAGAATCAATTCCCATACAAGGTAAAACGGATTAGGACCGACGGGGGTACAGAATTTGTCAACGAATTCTTTAAAGGGTACTGCGATAAAAGTGGGATCGTGTACCAAAAGTCAAATGTGAAGTCTCAAGAGGAAAATGGGTCTGCTGAGCGATCTCACCAGACAATAATGGGTAAAGTTAGATGCGCGTTAATAGGATCGGGTATGGCTGCTAAATGGTGGCCAGAGGCATTAAAATATATGACAGCAATAACAAATAGGATACTAACAACCCGGCTTAAGGGTAAAGGTCCATACGAAGCACTGTTTGGCACTAAACCAACAGGGATTGAGCTTCACATATGGGGCAGTACGTGCTACGCCCATGTACCAAAATCTAAACGAGCCAATCCGAAGCTTAGTGAGCGGGCGCTAGAGTGCAAACTGCTCGGGCTTTCTGAAGTACGAAGGGTATCGTCTACTCGTTATTAAAGGAAATAGGTACATTAACGCTCGAGATGTTAAATTTGGGCCAACATTTACTGAGGGACTGATTTCACGATCGATTCCGTCCGGACAAATTGAGGAGAATGAGGAAATGTTCCTAGAAGTAGGATAAAAGGGAAAAGAAAACGAGAAACGAGGCTGGATGTGTCAAACAAGCGACCAAAATCTAATTCTGAGCCGGAAGAGTGTGCACCGGATACTGAAACAGTGGGAGTAAAGAAACAGCGAGCTTCTGTGCCACGTATACCTCGCAGTCGTAGGAAAAGGACACCAAATTCTCGTTTAAAGGACTATTTAGTATCAATCAATGCTGTCACAATTAGCACAAAAGTGATACCGATTCCACGATCAATAAAAGAAGCGAGACAAGGCCCATACGCTCAGCAGTGGGAGACTGCGCTGCAAGCTGAATTTGAGGCACTAGTTGTAAATAGTACTTGGGATATAGTACCATTGCCAAAAGGAAGGAAAATACTAGGTTGTCACTGGGTATTTGACGTGAAGTATAACCCAGATGAAACAGTTGATAGATTTAAGGCAAGATTGGCTGTTAGGGGAAACACACAAACCCACGGCGTTGATTATAATGAGATATTTTCACCGGTGGCGCGGTATGAGTCGTTAAGATTACTACTGGCAATAGCAACTACAAAGGACCTTCATGTCCATCAAATGGATGTGTCAACAGCCTTCCTAAACGGATCGCTGTTTGAGGATATTTACATGCAGCAACCTCATGGGTTTAGGCATGGGGATGCGTCCAGTGTGTGCAAACTGAAGAAAAGCCTTTATGGACTCAAACAAGCACCTCGCATCTGGTATGCACTCCTCAATAAGTTCCTGGTAAGCCTAGGGTTTTGTCATTGCAAAAAGTAGTAATGTTTGTACCGTCAAAAGTGGGAGGTAAAATGAGTAACGCATATAGTACTTGTCTGCGTCAACGTGGATAGTATTACTATCGCATCTAGTAGTATGACATTGATGCAAAAGGTGAAGGACCAACTGGCTTCTAGATTACTATGAAGAACCTAGGTGATATCCATTATCTACTGAAGATGGAGATTAAGAGGGATAGGGAAAATATGATTCTGAGTATGTCCCAGCACAAGTATATTATGGTCTTTCTACAAAAGTTCGATATGA